AAAAAATTCCTGATATTAATACTGGTGGTCCCAAAATATTCAACAATTGTAAGACCGACACTTCCACAAAAAATGTTCTTTGAAAATCCACAATTTAAATGTTCTTGGTATAAACCAATATTTATCTCAAACACATTTTCAGGTCAGAAAATCACTTAAAAACTATTTTCTTTAAATCCACGATTTTAGGTTTCAGAGTTGCCCAAATTTTTATACCCTCCAGCTTGAAGGGCATATTAATTTTGTCATTTCGTTTGTAACAGCTCTAAATATTCGTCGTAGACCCCATAAAGTACATATATTCTTGATCAGCATAAAATTCTAAGTCGATTTAATGGTGTCTGTCTGTCTGTCCGTCTGTCTGTTGAAATCAAGATACAGCCCACATTATTTAACGTAGAACTTAAAATTTTAGCAGAACTATTTGTATTGTGTCTAGGTTGCTTGGCATTGAAAATGAAATATATCGGTCCACGTTTTCGTATAGCCGCCATATAACGTTACCTCCTGATATTCGGCATCTTGATGATTTTTGCCACATTTTTCAATGAATTTGTCTAAAAGTTGGTATTTGTAGGTCATAATGGATTCTAGCTCCGGTGGTGAAACATTGTATATATGTCCACGTTTTTTTATATAGCCGCCATATAAAGGTACCTCCCGATATTCGATATTTTGATGATTTTCAACACATTTTTCCACAGATTTTTTCTAAAAGTTGGAATTTGTAGGTCATTCTAGCTCCGGTGGCCAAACATTTTATACATAGGTCCACGTTTTTGTATAGCCTCATATAACGGTATCTCCCAATATTCGATATTTTTAAGATTTTCACCACATTTTTCCATGAATTTGGCTAAAAATTGGTATTTGTAGGTCATAATAGATTATAGCTCCGATGGTGAAAAATTGTATACATAAGTCACCGATTTTGTAAAGCCCCCCTATATAACGGTACCTCCCGATATTCGCCATCTTGATGATTTTCACCACATTTTTGTACGATTTTTTCCTAAAATTTGCTATTAATGGATTCTATCTCCGGTGGCAAGGCTTTGTATGTTAGGTCCCCGTTTGCCTTTAGCGCACATATAACGATATCCACCGACATTCGGTATCTTGATATCCTAGTCACATTTAACCACGAAATTTTTTCAAATGCGATATTTGAGAAGATTTGGTAGATGACAATATTAGAAGCATTAAATTGACTATATAGGTTCCCGTTTTGGTATGGCCCCCATATAAAGGCCTCACCCACTTTATGGTGTTTTGAAAAAATTGAACAGGATTATCAAAACAATTTTTTTCTTTACCAAATGGTGGAGTGTTTTAAAATTTCGGACGGGCCGAACTTAATTTTTTTTACTTGTTTAATCCACGATTTATTCTATTTAAAAAGATGCGATATTGGCTAAAATATTCATGCTTATGTTCTACTTGTCAAGCGCTGCAGATTCCCTCAATGCATATTACAAATCTCTCAAAAAATATAAGTCATAAAAAGATAAATCTACGTTTTTTATACTCGAATAGTCTTATAGAAATAGTATTTTGAGAATTCTTGACTTTGACTCTATTGATTTCTCAATATTTTTTAAACGCCGTAGTCCGTCGTCTTTACTCACCCAGTCCCCGAAAAAATATTATAACTCTTGTGATATTTTTTTAAAAAGTTCGAGCTTAGCACTAAATGCCATCAAAAAAAATTCTAAAAGCAGCAATTAAAATCTTGAGAATGTTTTCCTTGATAATCTCAATTCACCCTGGATTGACTGCAAATTAACTGTTTTAGCATTAAAATTCAATTAAGGTGACTCTTTCTTGAAAAATATTCCTTAATAATTACATTTTTAGCCAATTCCACAAACAAAAAAATACTTCACAATTATTAATAAAAAGGTCCCCGATATAAATTTTATAGTAATTGAAAGCCATCAAAAAAGTTTCCAAGCATTTTCTTGACATAAAATTTTAAACACATAAATATAACTGTCAACTATAAATCTTGGACTTAATTCTTCCATAGATTATTTTCATTCATAAAAAAATATTCCCATACAACATTGCACTGGATGTTTACACTTCATTCGTTGGTTTTATCAAAGCTAAACTTGTTTCGTTTGTTCTCCTCATTAGACATTCAACACTAAATAATAATATTTGCCTATTTTAATTAACACATATTAAATACTTTTAAAGAAAAACACACACAGCAATGCTTTGCCAACGAAATTCTCTAGAGATAGTTAGGTATTAAACATAATTAGGAAATTTATAATATAATTAATAGTTAGCAATTGTGTGGCAGATATGTTGTGCTATTTTAATTAAGCCTTTAATACAAACATAGATAATATAAATTCAAAATAGATTATTAACAAATAATGCTGCCTGTCACTACATTATTAACAAAACATTTGATTATTCATCATTTATTCATTATAAATATTTTGTTTATGGGCATATACGGGCATATGAACTACCAAAATACTTGGAGATCTAATAACAACAGCAATTGAAGATTCATGAAATACTGACTTCCTTATAGCTTTGTAAATTAAGAGAAACTTATATCATTAGATTTCCCCAACTTTGCCGCCTCTCCCCCTCCCGTTGTTGTTTCTTCGTGTTCCATTTGTAAAAAAAAACAGCTATTTCAACTCATCGTCATCATCGATAATGATCATGCCCATGATGATGGTGATGATGTTGATTATATTATTGTTTACAAACTTCTGTTGTTGTTTAGACAGACATTGCAATTGTGTTTATTTTGATATTTACTATATCAACCGTAAAATTGATAAAGTGCCAAGAATTAAAAATAAAAAAAAAATCGAATCGAAATAAATAAATTGCATTGCATTGCAAAAAAAAAAAAAAAAAACACTAAAACTGTTGAGATACAGTGACGAAAGCAAAGCATACATACAGTTCTACATAATTTGATGAAAAGATGATTAATTTGAAAGGAAAAGGCAGATGGTGTGACCCTTTCCCCATCTTCGTTTACATTTCAAAAAAGGGATGATAGCGACGTGAGCCATCGGAAATTTTATATATTCAAAAAATACGCTGATATTGTACTTATAATATTTGAAAATTTCAGGAAATATCTATTTATGCCGCCAATCACAATTACAGAACCCATGAGCCCACATAATAAATTGCTTAAAAAAATTCTAAAAAAATAATTTTTAAAATTTTGATAAAAAAGAAATATGTTTTAGTTTTCAAAGTCCCCAAAATAGATTCTTTGAAGAATTCATGATTGTGGGTATGAAAGTACACAAAAAAAAAAAAAATCTGGAAAATCCAATCTCCAATTATATTAAATCCAAGATTAATGATTAACAAATATTTTTTTAAAAAATCCACTATTATATTACAAAAAAAAAATATTTATTAGAAATCCACGATTATTTTTCAAAAACATTGTAAAAAACACGATTATACATCAAAAAATATATTGTGGGTCAAAAACCCATGATTACACGTCGACAATGTTAACTATCTTCGTTTTATTATTAAAAAGTTTATAAATCCCAAAGTCTCTCGGAATTATTATTTTTAGAATACACGAGTCAAAATCTAATAGTCTCAAAATATTTTTTTAGAACCACAATTATTGGTCTCAATGTCATTCAAAAATAGTTTTTTTTTTTTTAAAAAGTGGAATCTAGGTCTCAATGCCATTTAGGTTTTAGGTTTCAAAGTGCCTCAAAGAAAATCTTATATGTCTCACAGCCCCTACCAAACAGTTCTAAAATAATGACCATTGTAGGCCTTTATGCCCCTAAGATTTGTTTTAAATCAAGAATATAGGTCCATAAAGAAATATTTTGGGAATCTATAGTCAGGTGTCTCAAATCCCCCAACAAATATTCTTAAAGCTCCTCATAAAATATTCTTTTAAAATTCCATTTTATAAGTCTCCAAGTCCCTCAGGGGTTTTCAATGTGACTCGAATGCCTCAAAGCTCCCTACAATACAACCTTAAAACAATCACCATTATAGGCCTTAAAGGCCGTCAGATTTTTTTTAAATCAAGAATATAGGCGCATCGAGAAATATTTTGGAGATCCATGGTCAGATTTCTCAAATTCCCCAAAAATGTTCTAAAATCTCCTCACAAATGGTATTCTTAAAATTCAATTTTTTTAATCCTCAAAGTCCCTCAAATATGTTCTTTTAAAAAATCCATGAAATAAAAGATCTGAAAGTCTCTCAAAAATATTTTTTTTTGAATATTTACGGTCTCAAAGTCCCAAAAATATTTTTTATTAATAACCCCACGTTTGTGCGTCAATTCGCCCAAAAAATATTAGTAAATCGCTACGATTTTAGGAAATTCTTTCAAAGACATTTTATTTTTTAAATCCTTGATCAAAAGTCTCAAAAATCCATTCAATTCGATTAGATGCCCAAGAGTTCCTCAAAAATATTTTTTAACCCCATGATTTAAATCTCATAGTCTCTTAAGGAATATTGAAAAAATCTATGAGCAACAAAGGTCTCTATTTCCCCAAAGCATATTCACAAATTTCCTCACAAATGATTCTGGAAAACATCCCAAAGTCCCTCAAAAATATTCTTTTGAAAATCCCCGATTAAAGGTCTGAAAGTCTCCCACAAAACATCCCTTAAAATGTAATTACATAGACCTTTAAGTCCTTCAGTAAATTCTTAGAAAATCACGATTTTAGGTCAAAGAATCCTTTAACAACTTTTTTTTAGTCTACGATTCAAGGCTGTTATGTGGGCCACATAAAACAGGCTATGAGAGGGTTTTTTTTTTAAGCTTGTGAATATCAAATAAGTTTTTTCATATCTATAATTTAAAATTTAATATTTATTATTTCTTTTTAATTTTATACAATTTTGGATTTTAATAACTTATTTGAAATATATTTTTTTCATTTAATTTTTTATATATTTTTATTTAATATTTATTATTTTATATTAATAATTATTTTTGTTTCCTCTACTGCCCACAGAAACTCCTGCCAATGAACGCGAGGAATTATTCATACAAAAACTAAGACAATGTTGTACACTGTTCGATTTTTCCGAACCATTAAGCGACCTAAAATGGAAGGAGGTTAAACGGACGGCTTTGCATGAAATGGTTGAGTATTTGTCCAACCAAAATAATGTCATTACCGAAGCAATTTATCCGGAAGCAATAAATATGGTGAGTTCCCGATTCCCACATCTAATGGATTTGGAATAATCTCATTTCGTTACTTTTTCAGTTTGCTGTAAATCTCTTTCGCACATTACCGCCTTCTTCGAATCCAAATGGTGCCGAATTTGATCCCGAGGAAGATGAGCCAACACTGGAATCATCATGGCCTCATTTACAATTTGTTTACGAGCTATTTTTGCGTTTCCTAGAATCGCCTGATTTTCAACCCAACATCGCCAGACGTTATATTGACCATCAGTTTGTGTTGCAATTGTTGGATTTGTTCGATTCGGAGGATCCGAGAGAACGTGATTTCCTAAAGACTGTTTTACATCGTATTTATGGCAAATTTTTGGGTTTGAGGGCATTTATACGCAAACAAATCAATAATGTGTTTTACAGGTATAAAAAAGTGATTAATAATTTAAATAATATCCAATCTCAAACTCGTTTTGTATTTCAGATTCATCTATGAAACTGAACATCACAATGGCATTGCTGAACTTTTGGAAATTTTGGGCAGTATAATCAATGGTTTTGCTTTGCCTCTGAAAGAGGAACACAAACAGTTTTTGCTCAAAGTTCTGTTGCCATTGCACAAGGCAAAAAGTCTATCGGTTTATCATCCACAGCTGACCTATTGTGTGGTACAGTTTTTGGAGAAAGACCCCAGCCTGGCAGAACCAGTCATTAAGTAGGAAAACTTCTGAACACATTTATAAACTTTCTATTAACAATCAATTGTTCAATTTTAATTTAAGGAGCCTTTTAAAATTCTGGCCCAAAACCCACAGCCCCAAGGAGGTAATGTTCTTAAATGAACTGGAAGAATTGCTCGATGTCATTGAGCCGGCCGAGTTTCAAAAAGTCATGGTTCCATTATTCCGACAAATTGCCAAATGCGTTTCATCGCCCCACTTCCAGGTGGCCGAGCGGGCGCTCTACTATTGGAACAACGAGTATATCATGTCCCTAATATCGGACAATTCTCAAGTCATTTTACCCATAATGTTTCCTGCCTTGAATCGTAATTCGAAAACGCATTGGAATAAGACCATCCATGGCCTAATTTATAATGCCCTGAAATTGTTTATGGAAATGAATCAACGTTTGTTTGATGAGTGCAGTAAAAATTATCGCCAAGAAAAGCAATTGTAAATATTCAAATCAAATTAGTTTGTTTCCCCTCCTCGAAAGGCCAACAAACATGTTTTTTTGTTTTCCAGGGAACGTGAAAAAATGTCTCAACGCGAAGGCCTTTGGCAACAGGTTGAATCGATGGCCAAAAGCAACCCGGAATGGCATAAACTATGCGGTCAAATGGACAATTTAAGTATTTCAAGTAGTCAAAATGATTACGATGATGATAATGATAACTTAGATCTTACCTACAAATTGGATTATGATGACCGACAACAGCAACAACAACAGCAGCAGCAACAACAGTCGCAACAAATGCAAAACCATAGTATAGCACAGGAAAATCGTGAGGTATGTTAAAAATGTTTTCAACATAGAACTTGACAATATATAAATATATATCATATCCAAAATCAATTCCGCTCAATAACTAACCATTATTAGTATTATGTTGTGTTGGTAAAGTAGAAAACAAAAATATTCAAGTATTGAAAATTAAGTTAATGCTAAACAAATTAAGGAAATGTTTCTTCATTCCATTCCTTGGATTTTTTTAAACGGACTTTAAAGGGATAAGTCATTGACTTTCTGAGGCGTCTATTGAGGAAGTAGGCGAGGGTTTTTAAAGGGTCAATCCGAGAAAAAAAACGTGGAATTTTTAAAATATCTTTTAAGGAAGAAGTCTTGGATTATTTAAGATGTCTATTGAAAAGAAAGACGCGTATTTGTAAGGTGTCTACTGAGGAGGAAATCGTGGATTTTGAGGATATCCGTAGAGGAGAAAATCGTGGATTTTTAAGATATCCGTAGAGGAGGAAATCGTGGATTTTTAAGATATCTATTGAAGAGGAAGTCGTGCATTTATTTAATGTCTATCGACGACCTTAAGATATCTATTGAGGAGGAAGTCGTGAATTTTTAAGATGTCTATAAAGGAGGAAGTCGAATAGGATTTTTCTTCTATTAATTTAAAAAATGTTGTGTATTTTTAAGGAGATTGTAATGGACTGTCCAATGAAGAATCCGTGTATCAAACAAGGGGAGTCTAAAAACGAAGTCGTTTATACTTTAAGGAGAGTTTAAGGGGGAAGTCGTGTATTCTCTTAAGTCCAAGGAAAATAAATCGTATATGAATGAAGTCGTATATTCTGTAATGGACTGTCTATAGGGAAAGTCGAGATTCCTTTGAGGACTGTGAGTAAAATAATTTTTGTAATTTTTTAGGTAGCTTCTATCCGAGGAAGAGATAAATTTTTAAGTGTCTAAAGTTGTGGATTTCAATGTATAAGTCGTTTTTTATTATTCGTTTAAGGGTGTCTAAGAAAAAAGTCATGTAGGGTAATGTGCTGTCTATAAAGCCGAGACAGCTTTGAGGGCTATGTAAATTAAGTCATTGATTTTTATATACCCTCAGACATACGTGGTGAGATAAAAAACCCTGCAACAAAGTCAAAAGCCATAATTTTAACATTTTTTTTTTTTTAATTTTATTGAATGAAAGCAAAAAATGTCGGAAATAACATTAAATTTTAGAATAAGTTTAGATTTGTTCGATTTGTACACCTTTGGCACGAATTATGGCCTTCAAACGTCCAATGAAACCGTCACACGCTGCCCGAATGTTGCTCTGTGGTATTTTGGCCCATTCCCGGCGAAACGCTTGCTTGAGGTGATCGACACTTTGGTATTTTTTAGTGCCAACCTTTCTTTCCAGAATATTTTCGCTATAATATTCGGCATTTATTCTGATGACACGGTCGATTAATACGAGTGGAGAGCGACCATCGGCTGTTATGGCGGCCCACACCATCACCATGGCACATTTTCAGCTGACCTCTTTGGCTAGTAAACACATTTTGTTTGTTTATTACCTGCTGGACAACCAGCTCATTTTTCAATATTTGCCGAATGGAATATTGCGATATGTTCCGCTCACGAGCCATTTATCGGTCTGCGGACTGCGATGCGCGTTTCGATCAAGTCGCTTTTTTACTTTTCGAACCATTTCTGCTGATGTTGCTGTTTTCTACTGTCCACTTCCTACGCTACCAGTATCACGGTTGTATTCCATCACGAATAACTTTTTTCCAGGAAAATTCTCACCAAAATTCTTTTGTACGCTTCCAAACAATATTATGAGCTGTCACTGGTATAATTTTAACAGCTGTCGGAAGAGCGGCTTAGAAATGACAGCAGTCTGAAGTTGGTTGCAGTTTTTTCATCTCACCCTGTACATCTGCCGGCAAAACCGACTGATTCTTTTTTACTTGTTTTGAAGAGGTTTAAGTGGGATATCTAAAAATGTTTTGAGGGGGAAATTCGCGAACTTTAAATTGAATTTTGGATGAAAAAAAACCTAGGATTGTTTTATAAAAATTCTTTAGAATTACTAAACTTCTACCTTCTTTAAATGTTCTTCAAAGTCAGAATATCATTTTAATAAAACCGAAATAGTTAAAATACTTCATGAAATACTTCCACAAGTCCTCCTTTTTAAAATTCCTTAAAATTCCACCAATGCTTCTTTTTTTACCTTTGGCCTATACAAAACCTCTTTAAACTTACTTTTAATTGCGATTTTCGTAGGGAGTTTCTTTTAAAAACTATCTTCTTGCCAAAATTAAAAAAAAACATAACCTCACTTCAATACTTGAATATTTTTGTGTAGCTATCCTTTTTATATTGTAGCTAACTTACTAAATTCTTTCCATTTATATTTTTTGTGTATTGTATTGTAGTTTTTTTTTTTTTAATAATCTCTACTTTTTTCCTAATCTGTGACTAACTTCTTGAGTTTTTCTCTTTGTTTTTAGCGTTACGTAGCTTTATTAGAGTAAAAAGAAACAAACAAAAAAATATTTCTTTAAATGTTGTGTCTTGCCTTGTCATAAAATACAATGTAGAACATCTTCTTCTTCTTCTTTTTGTAACAAATATTGCTAATATTAACAAAAGGCGCTTTGTACTGCTACTAGATCTATATATTTAAAAATGTAAACTTGTGGTATTACTCTATATATATACAAACATATAACTCCCCAAAACCCCTCCTTTGTTTTGTGTATGAAAAATGTATGTATTTATGTTAATTTATAAAAAAAAAACACTAATTTTGTTTGTGTATTGTGCTACTTGGTGTGAACAACAACAACAACAAAAACACATTTCAATTCTCAGAAATCGCCACGTAATTTGGATAAACCATTGCTAAGACGAAAATCTGATTTGCCAGCTGATAGCGGCATTGTCCATGCTCTATTTGAGCACAAGAGGCCAGATGAATATTTGAAAACTCCGCCGGATGCAAATGCATGCTAAATGCCAGCACACACAGCTTGGCAAAAGAGAAACAAAAAACATTTTTTTGAAACATTAAAGACGGACGGCTGCTCTAGTGAAACATGAAACCTATTCCAATTTTATTACACCAAAAGACATCTTCTGTTTTCTTAAAACAGCAGCAGAACGCAGGCGTTAGAGACAAACAATACGTTGCATATTAAGCCAAAATCAATAACATTCAACAGTAAAACAAAAAAGAAAAACAAACAATGATTAAACTTTATTTTTTTTTTTCTTCTATATAAGCAATGCACTTATAACACACCAACCACACACATACACCCCCCCATCTCCCTTACACACAAAGAATACAATACAAATTCCATATATTATTTTCAATTTATATCAATATAACAAATTAAAGAATATATAAATATTTTTTTTTAAAACAACAATGGAAACAAAATATTTTATTTTTAATACAACCAAAAAATGAATTACGTATTCAATTAAATACATAGGTTATATTGTATTAAAAAAAATCCAATTGGTCATATTTTGGGTTATGAACAACAGAACTTGCATAAATTCTAGACGGGAGTTTTTAAAAATATACCCACTTAAGGTTGAAGGTGATTTTTTGATCGAAACATTTCTTTTTTAATTGGATTTATATATTTCCATCATCATTTATTTGAAAGTAAATCTGTTTACATAGATCAGTGTCACGGAAATCAACTAGTTTCAATGGCGTTGCCAACTGCTAAGTTTACCGTTTGTAACAGTCAAATCTATTCGTCATCTTGAGAGCAGTACTCACTATCAAACAAGTAGGGGGAAAAATTTCAAAGCAAAGTTTAAAAGTTAAAAGGATTTTGTATAACGTTTTTACAAACTAGTAACCAATGTTATATATATTTTTGGTTCACAATTTAACGTTTCTACTAAAATTTCAGTTATGAGTTGTTTTGTTTACACATATTCATTGGGGGAATCAGCTTTAGTACAATGGCGTTGCCAACTGATAAGAACGCAGATCAAAGGAGACAAACACATTCGTCAACTCAAGTGGTGTACACACCATCGATCAAGTTGGGCATTCCACAAATCTTAAGTTTTTTTGGCATTCTAAAGAAGAATTAAAGCTATATTTTTTAAGAACAAAAATAATGGGTTTTGACCATAATAAATTATACATTATGAAATTGTATTTGCTGATTTTTTTTTTAAATTTAAACTTGTCCTAGAAGCATGATTTGAAAATGTTATTAATTTTTGCTCTACATTTTTTTCTATTAATTAATGCATGTTAAATAATTGTGTATTTTTGTGGACATTTTTTCTGTTTTAATTAAAAAAAGCAAATGGATATGCAAACATTTCTGCCAGCCGCCATTCCAGCTACGCGGCTGTGACCACCAACAACACAAAGAAAACTACAAAATTTCAAAAGACAATTACAATTGAATGATAATATTTAAACAAAAAAATCTTCTCTTTTTCTTTTTATTTTGCAGTGAAACAAATATTATAGGAGTTACATACAATATTTTATTAACTTTAACACATTATTAAGGAGAGTTTTATTATTAGCTATGAAAAAAGAAATGGTTAATTTATTTGTTACAACATGTAAACTCTATATAAATATTAAATAATAACTATACACTATAATAATAACTATCACAAACACACACACTGGAACACAGACACACACATATATGAATATATTTAAATATATGATGTGTAGTATGTATGCATCGTGCAAAACTATAAACAAACCGACAACAACAACAACAATGTGTATATGCTGCATAATAATAATAATAATAGATAACAATAATACAATATATATTAATTATTAAGCTAAAAGCAAAAGAAACCTAAAAACTGATGGTAAAGAATAAACATAAGAAACAATACAACAAACAAACAAAAACATACATATACAAAACCAGAACACAAAATAAACTATATTATAATAATAATTATTTCTTAAGAAAAGATTAATTGAAATCATAAAAAAAAGAAAATATACACACACAAAAATACGTGTCAACACTCTGTTGTAAATGCTTTTTTATAAAAACAAATAAAATGTATTAATGAAAACAAAACAAAAAAAATCACAAATACTCTATATATACATATATGTATTATTGACGAAAATAAACGGTACTTGTATATTTATAAAAAAACTTATATTATCCTAACATCATTTTGAATGTTGTGGGTCATCATGGCATAATAAGTTGAAAAAAATCTAAGACAGCGCGTTCTTTTGCAAGAAAAGCTACAAGGTCCTGTTTTTAAAAATTTTAATAAAAAGTAACTTTTTTCACAAAATACGAAGTTTACAAGAATAAAAATATTGTATCGTGGCGCTGCCAACTGCCAAAATAACAAAACACAACTATACTTCAACTAAAGTAGAGTACAGAAAATCGATCAGCTTGACAACTGATTTTCTTATAGAAGAATATAGGTAGATGCATCAACGCTTGGGAACATTGATATGTCAACATTTTTAAAATGTTTTTTTTTCGAAAATAAGTAATTTTTTGTATTTTTTCTTATACGACGCCAATCGGAGGTTGTTAGATATGAGAATTTCAACAACTCTTACAAATTTCAATAATTTTTCATTAAAAATTTTTAGTTTCAAAATTAGTTTGACAGTTCATTGTTCCAGCAGCTGTAAACATTTTTCCATTTACTGCAGTTCTGGAACAGACCATTTTACAGCACGCGTGTTTTCCAACGTCAAATTCTTTGTTATAGAAAAATTATACGTGGTTAAAAATTTGTATGTAAACGTACGTTTACCCACAAAATTAAGGTTTTTCATGGCTCTACCTCGTCAACCCTACTTTAAAAGTGTCAAGAACATGGAATGGTAGAGGCTAGACACATTGCTTTATGGAAAAAAGTTTATGTGAGAAATATATAGAGACGCTGCTAACATCCGAAACATGATAGCATAATAACAACACAATTACAGAGCAGAACTTTGAAAAAAAAAAACTGTTAAAATTCACTTAACATAGGTAAGTCTGTTTGTATATTTTGAAACTGGTTTTAATTTTGCATTAAGATATCCCAAATACTGAATGCTGTCCAAAACAAACATAAAATTACTTTGTCATGTGAACCTACCATCAATTGATTTGTCGCTCGTTTAAAGTGAATAACAGACCTTTCAATGGACGAAATGCGTTTCTAATGCCCTGTACAGCAAATTTTTATCGATCTTCTAGAACCCTACTGAATAATTATTTTTTGATTTTCACGTTTCTCACGCATCGCTTCGTTCACTAGCCTTCTTTATAACTGTGACGGCGTTTTCTTAAAATTTAAATGGCTTTGTAATCCGTGTGTACTCACGACTGGTCAGAACCACATTAAAAACAAAAAATATAAATAATAAATATTGCCATATGAACACGTTAAAAAAAGTTAACGGCGTCAAAATGACTACCTAAAGCCGGCCTCGAGTTGAAGGAACTTACTCCCCGGTTCATTTAATGAATGTAGCCAGCGGTTCGATTTCCTCATGTCTCATTCGTAAACAACAGAGGTCCCTCGGGGATTTTGCTTTCTCGTTCTTTTTTATCGGGCATTTCATTTTGATTTCTTATTTGTTCCGTTGGGGACGTCCCACGTTTCCCAGGCGCTCATTCGATTTGCTCTTCAAAGTCCATTCAATTTGCGGTTTAATTATGCTTAGCATAAATGAATTAACATGTAGAGTTTGTCTGCATGAACAGCAGGTGCTAATCAATGTCTTCGATGAGCTAGAAGACTTGGAAACTAGTCTTAGCTCGTTGCTTGAAAAATGTGGTGGCATACAGGTGGGTTGTTGTCATTTCAGCTTGTGGAGGAATGTGAGGCGACTACAACATATTTCCCATTTTAGGTTGAAAACGATGATATATTTCCGAAATATCTCTGTGAAGAATGTACCCGAGAACTTTTAATTTCGGCTAAATTTCGAGATAAATGTGCCAAATCAAAGGAAGTCTATGAAGGACTTTTGAAGGAGGGTAACGTTAATAATAACAATGAAGACGATTTAGAAGAAAATGAAAGCTGCAAGGAACAGAATATGGCCTATTCCACAGAGGAGCCGAAGGAAAACAATTTTGAAATGACCGAGGCTGACCATGAGGAAACCAATGGCGATTTGTCAACCTTGATTAATCCAGACAACTTGGAGGAGCCCATTATTGAGGAAGAAGTTGTGGATGTTGAACAATTCACACATCAATCCGAGGAAATTATACAGGAAGTAGAAGAACATAATGATGAAGTTGTTAATACCTTTGAAAATCCCGATGATATGGTGATAGAAGAAAATACCCCTAGCATTAGTTATGAGCCAAATACGAATGATTTCGAAGTTCACATAGACCTCTCAAATAGTGCATTCATTAAGTCAATGCCCATCAGAGTGAAAAAGCAAAAATCCTATACATGTGATATTTGTGGAGCGGCATTTGTTCAGTCGATTAATCTGCGTAAGCATCTACAAAAAACACATGCGCTCACACAATGTTATGCGTGTACGATATGTGATCATTGGTTCTCATCGGAAATGGGATTATTGCAACATGCCAAAGATTGTAAGGAGCCGTGTTCCGATGAAGAGCTAAGCAGTGAGGAAAAGGGGAGAAAAGTACAAAAATCGAATCTGAGCAATGAGCATATAGAAAACGACAGAAGATGTGTTTATTGTGAGCGAGTGTTTCAAACCCCTTTTGCTCTGCGAATGCATTTGCGAACACACACTGGCGAGAGGCCCTTTCAATGTCAGTATTGCGATAAATCATTCAAAACCCAGTCGTCACTGAATTCCCATGTTAAAAGGTAAACGATTTTGAGATTGAACTCATTTTAAGCATACACTAATGAGATATATTCACAGACACATAGGCCAAGCAGATTTTGTGTGTTCGATTTGTGGCAAAGCATTTTATGAACGGGGCAATCTAGATGTCCACATGCTGACACATACCGGAGAGAGGCCTCACTCTTGTACTGTGTGCCAGAAAAAGTTTACGCGGGTATTTCTGCTGGAATTGCACATGAGAACACATACCGGCGAAAAGCCATATCCTTGTAGTTTTTGCGACAAAAGTTTTCGTCAAAGATCCGACTGGAAAAACCATCTAACCACCCACACTGGAGCAAAGAAACACAAATGCCAGTTTTGTCCGAAGAGTTATATGAAAAGAGCATCTCTTGAGCAGCATATGCGAACGCATTCGATACTGCAAATTGATGCGGATAATTTAATTGAGCAGTCTGCTGGGGTAGCTGGTCTCTCTGGCGACATGGACGTTTTCGGCGATTTTATAGAAAATGAAGAAGATTTTCAAACAAACGAAGTGACATAATAAAGGCTTTATTCCGTATTATCTGCAAAGTATTTGTCAATTCTTTGGCGTAAATCAGTTTTCTCAACGTCATCACAAAATGCAGCTGCTATGGCATTTTTACACAAGTCATGAATATTGTTTTTCTTCAATGAAAACACCGTAGAAGCTATGGCAAATTCTTGACTAAGCGTGCTATCAAATACCCCACAATCATCGGTGCAAATGACGCTGCGTATGCCATTATCATGTAGTCGTTTAAAATGATGCATATCATAGTCCTTTACTGTTCCACACTTAACGTTGCTGGTCAGGCAACATTCTATGGTAATATTTTGTTCTTTACATTGCTCCATTTGTTTGAGGGTTAGATATGTGCCATGGCCACATCTATCGAATTGAAAATCCAACATCTCCTGGGCTTCCTCTTCATTGTCTATTTCAGCACAATGTAAGGCTAGGTGTAAATCTGCCTTTTTGGCCTTTTCCAATGATGGAAGGAAATCTTTAAAGTGACCCTTAGCCGGGTTACCACTCAGATCCATTCCCCTAACAATGGTGGGATATTGACTCTTCATTTCAATGGCCAAATTTACAATTTCTTCGGCCGCATCTACCCCTTGGGATCGGTCAATGGAGATTAATAGTTTTACAATTATCTCACCATAACTTTCTCGGGATGCTTGTATTGCCTCCAAAATAGTTTCCAAATACTCTCTGCGTGTCATGTGCTCATTGTTTTTGGGAGTTGTTCTCAGTTCCAAGTAGATAACATTATCGCGGGCAAAGTCTCGTATGACCATTTGCGTGGCTAATTGAAGACCTTTTCTGCTGGATGTTAGCTCATGCATAAATGCAAATTTTTGAAAACATTTCGATAGCTTATCAGCGTCCATATCTTCTGGAAATGTTGTAAATTCTTGAATGCGTTTTAAAAAATCCGAACTGTTTTCTCCATACAGCTGTAGTCCTAGTTCACGAATTGAATCCATTTTCAATGAGCCATTTAAATGAGCATGAAGCTCAATTTTGGGCATGTTTTCAAAAAAGTCCATCTTGCAGAGAGATCTAGATTATGCTGATTTTCTATCTTTTCCGGAATATATCAGTCAAAGTTGATTTTCTAAATTATCTCCATTGAGATCCCCTCATCCCAGGCGCCAAACAACTAATCCAGGGATTTATAGACTGAAAAGCGGTTAGGGATTTATAAATCGATTTCCGTTCGTATGCCAGCTATTTTACAAGAACGTGAAGACAACGTGAATTTTAACAAATTAGGACAAATATTATATTCATCTTTATTGTCTTATTGCTTTAGACAATGCGATGTACTCCGTCATTGCAAATTAAATCCATAAGTTGTGGAATTTAGTGTTTTTACAACCAAATTGTTGAATGGGACTATGTGAGCTAGTTCTTTTAGTCAGTCTTTCTCTATGCGATATTCCATGGAAACCAATGAACTAGTTGCAATTTTTGCAATGTAAATGAAATGAAACCACAACAAAACCATTCGAAATTGGAAGTAACTATTTTAATGAATATGTAGGATTGCAATGGAGAAAAAAGGGCCACTCCCGCCTTTATCCCACAACTTATTAAAAAAAGTTTTGTTGTCCGAAAGACATAACCACGTAACGTAATATAGCATGGCTTAATATGCCATCTTACGACACGTTGTTCACTAACACGCACAAAGAGCGATCTGACGTTTCTCTCTTTCCAAATGCCGCATTCATTTGTTTACTTTTTACTTTCGCACAAAATTTATTAAAATCAGAAATTTAATGATTTCTCCATAAAAGAGGACGAAAACATCCAACAAAATGACTTCTATCATTAAATTACACACCGTTTCGGGGGCCATGGACGAGACGCCCCCATGTTATATCCTGCAAATTGATGAAGTCAAAATCATGCTCGACTGTGGCTGGGATGAAAAGTTTGATGCAAATTTTATCAAGGAAGTAAAGAGGTAGGATCAGCATATGGATGTAATTCGTTAACCATTAACAATTGACCTATCTCTCTTCCAGACATGTCCATAGCATTGATGCAGTGCTGCTTTCCCATCCGGATGTGTATCACCTGGGTGCCTTGCCATATTTGGTGGGAAAATTGGGTCTGAATTGTCCGATTTATGCCACCATACCCGTACATAAAATGGGACAAATGTTTATGTATGATCTGTACATGTCCCATTTTAACATGTATGATTTCGATTTGTTCTCGCTGGACGATGTGGATGCAGCATTTGATAAAATTATTCAATTGAAATATAACCAAACGGTATCGCTGAAAGGCAAAGCCTATGGAATTGCAATTACCCCTTTGCCTGCTGGTCACATGATTGGTGGTACCATATGGAAGATCCTCAAGGTGGGCGAAGAGGATATTGTCTATGCCACGGATTTCAATCACAAAAAAGAACGTCATCTCAATGGCTGTGAATTGGAGAGGCTGCAAAGACCTTCATTGCTGATAACTGATGCCTTTAATGCGCTGTATCAACAGGCACGGCGCAGGGCAAGAGATGAAAAACTTATGACCAATATTTTACAGACTTTGAGGGGAAATGGAAATGTCCTAATTGCTGTTGATACGGCGGGTAGGGTACTGGAATTGGCTCACATGTTGGATCAGTTGTGGAAAAATAAAGAATCTGGCCTTATGGCCTATACCCTGGCATTGTTGAATAATTTCTCTTATAATGTTATTGAATTCGCCAAATCCCAGATAGAATGGATGAGTGATAAATTGATGAAGACATTTGAGGGGGCTCGCAATAATCCCTTTCAATTTAAACACATGCAGCTGTGTCATAGTTTGGCGGAGCTGGCATTACTGCCCGGACCAAAGGTTGTGCTGGCCAGTGAACCGGACATGGAAAGTGGTTTCACAAGGGAGCTGTTTGTACAATGGGCTGGGAATCCCAATAACAGCATTATTTTTACCTCACGGTAAGTGGACATGGGAGAACCCATACTTTTGAGCCTATTTTAATGTTTTATGTTTCAGCACCTCTCTGGGAACCCTGGCCATGGATTTGGTAGACAATCACACTCCAGGCCGTAAAATAGAACTGGACATTAGAAGACGCGTCGAATTGGAGGGTGCCGAACTTGAAGAGTATTTGCGCATTCAAGGAGAAAAAGTCAATCGTTTGATAGTCAAACAAGATGTTGATGAGGAGAGCAGCTCCGATTCGGATGATGACATCGAAATGAGCATTATAACGGGGAAACATGATATTGTGATAAGGCCGGAGGGTAAACAACACACAGGATTCTTTAAGTCCAACAAGAGGCATCATGTCATGTTCCCCTTCCACGAAGAGAAAATTAAATGTGATGAGTATGGGGAAATTATTAATTTAGAGGATTATCGTATTGCCGATATGGCATACGATGTCAATATGGAGGAGTCGAATAAGGAAAATGTCAAGAAAGAAGATGTGAAGGGAGAAAAATCCATAACAGATGATGATGTCCAGTTGCTAGAAAAGCCCACCAAGTGTATTGTGCAACGCAAAACCATAGAGATAAATGCCCAAATACAACGCATCGATTTTGAGGGGAGATCGGATGGAGAATCTATGCTAAAAATTCTCTCACAATTAAGGCCCAGACGTGTCATTGTGGTGCATGGCGTGGAGGAGGCCACAATGGCCGTGGCCAGGCATTGTGAACAAAATATTGGCGCCCGGGTGTTTGCACCACACAAGGGGGAGGTAAGTGCAATAATTCAATTCCATACTCTTTTCCAAAAATCCATATTTTTCAGACTGTAGATGTCACAACGGAGACGCACATTTATCAAGTCCGCCTAACCGAGGGCCTTGTGGCCCAATTGCAATTCCAAAAAGGCAAAGATGCCGAGGTGGCATGGATTGATGCCCGCATTGGTATGCGTACCCAAGCCATTGATGCGGCTGCCACCAATCAAAACAATGAAGCCGATAATGATGTCACCGAAACTACGACAGAGGAGAGAACCCTCACACTGGAATCATTGGAAACTGATGAGATACCTGTACACAATTCCGTCTTAATTAATGAATTGAAATTGTCCGATTTCAAACAGATCCTTATGCGTAACAATATCAATTCGGAATTTTCCGGTGGTGTGCTGTGGTGCTCCAACGGTTCGTTGGCCTTGCGTCGCATTGATACGGGTAAAGTGACAATGGAGGGTTGTCTATCGGAGGAATATTATAAGATACGTGAGCTGTTGTACGAACAATATGCTATTGTTTAAGGAAATATATTTTAATGGGAAAAGTCTTTGTTCTAAGAAGAAACGAAGAAGATTTTATTTTCGATGGGAAGAATAAAACAACTTGGGTAAATTAAGTTCAAATAATGAAAATAATGTCTGGTAAATAATTTTTCAAAGGCAAATAGTCTAAAAAATAAAGCATATTTTAAGGCTGGTGTCATACGTCTAGCAGAGACGCAAACAATTTATGGTGGTTCACATCATACACATGCAGCTTATATAGGGTTTACACAAAACAATTTTTTTTGCAAATGCAACCATGAGTTATCTGATACAAACATACAGGGTGATATAAAAAAACTGCAACAAAGTCAAACGTCATCATTTTTACACTTTTTTTAAATTTTATTGAATGAAAGCAAAAAATGAAGGAAATAGCATACAATTTTAGAATAAGTTTAGGTTTGTCCGAATTGGTCACCTTTGGCACGAATTATGGCCAATACAACTGTCACACGCTGCTCGAATGTTGCTCTGCTCTATTTTGGCCCATTCCCGGCGAAGCGACTGGTTGAGCTGACCGATACTTTGGTATTTTATTACTACCAGCCTTGCTTTCCAAAATACTTCAGACACAATAGTACAAAGGATTGGTATCCTTAGATCGTGGTGGCCATTGTGCGCTGGAAATGAAGCGAGTAACCTCATTTTGTAACCAATCTTGGACGGTGCGTGCTGAGTGTGATGGTGCTCAGTCCTGTTGGAATGTCCAAGGTTTGCGGCCAAAATGTTTGCGTGCCCAAGGCTTTAATACACCCCATGGTAGAAGAATACAGGTAGATGCGTCGACACAGCTGCTGGGACAATGAACTGTCAAACCAATCTTGAAATTGAAAATGTTGAATGAATAAATATTTAAATTTATAAAAATTGTTGAAAAACGCGAATTATAATAACCTCCCAATAACGTCGTATAAGAAAACATATAAAAATCTACTTATATTTGAAAAAATATTTAAAATTTTTTGGCATATCAATGTTCCCGAGACGCAAAATATTTATTCACATTTAAATGTTGGAGTGCTCTAACGATAGCCACTTGTGGTTTTCCAATCAAATCACGAATAACTTTTTTTCTGGAAAATTGTCATCCAAATGCTTTTGTATGCCTGCAAAAAATATAATGGGCTGTCACTGGAATAATTTTAACAGCTGTCGGACGAGTGGTTTAGAAATTACAGCAGTCTGAATTTGGTTGCAATTTTTTTTCATCTCACCCTGTATGTTTTCCCATACAACTGTTTGACAGTTTATTTTGAATGATCATTGTGAATGATCAAACAATAAGCAAAACGTAAATAAATGTTGGTATTAAGTATAATTGGTTTTACAACTTATTGTTCGGCCATGGCCATAATGTATTTTCATAAATCCATTGCTTTTTCACAAATCAGAGATAGAACCCTTTTTTGAATAAAGTTACATTTGACAATAAAAATTGCCGAAAATGTAAATATAATTTTTGGAATGACGTTACCTTGAATTAGTTGAATTTTACCATGTTTGCAATACTGCAAAATCCACATATTCGGCTATCGCAAGCTGGCAATCGTGCAAATAATTCTTACTTGAGAAATTTTCCTAACAGAAAGTTTAAATAGCCTCAGTTGCAGTCATATTCTTATTCACAAGTGAGGCAATTAATAAATTTTGTGATATTTTGTTCCAAACAATGTCAAATCACATGTGAACCCTGTTATTTGTTTCTCTATATTTTCTTCAACTTTCTATCAACAAACGCAACGTTGAATGTGAACCCCCTCTAAATGTGAACATATTAATCAGCTGTTTTGTCTTTTGTATTTTAAAAGGGAAACAAATAGAAAAAATAGGATTTTCCCAAAGTTTTCATTGTATTTTCCCTAGAAATTTGAAAATTTCTTTAAAAAGTTATATTTAAATTGTTATTTATGGATTATTTCAATTGTTTTCCATAACAAATCACCGAGATCGCTAACTAGAAATGCGTTTTCCCCAAACCATTGGCGTTGACAACACTCGACAATTCAATTAGAATTTTTTTTCTTTTGTGTAAAGTGGATTTATTTGGAGAAGAATTACAAAGATTTTTCAACGAAATTAATTACATTTTGTGGATAAAAATGTGTTCGCTAATAAAATAACACCAACGGTTTAGCGTGCAAGCCGAATATTGTTCTTTGGAATCGGCCAAAACGTCGAGAAATTAACGAAAATGATTTGTGGGATCGTAATTGAACGCAATTGAAACGAGAAAAACAGCAGCAAGAAAAAGAGAAGAATAGAAACAAAAAAGGCAAAAGCAACGATACGACAAGAAAAACAATTTGATTTCACGATATTTTTTCTACTAGAAACAAGAAAAAGAAAAAAAAGAAAAACAAAATTAAGTGTGTGTTAAGAAAGGAAAAGCAATTCATTACAACATATTGGCATTGTCCTCCTCCTTCTGAAAAAAAAAACGCTCAACACCCAGAGGGAATTAGTTGATCAAGTAAGTTTAAAAAGTTTAACAAAACGAAATCATAGGGAATAAAACAACAACAAAAATGTCAATAAAAGACGACAGAAAAAACCTCAGTTTCACCACCCACCTTTTGTTGTTATGTTTTCGATAAACACAAATGGATGTTTGGCCCCCCCACCTTGTCACCCTGTTATGGTCACATTTTTTCTCCACTCTCGTCGTTTGTCTATAATACACAATAGAGCCCCAATAGCCAAAACGCCCAGCCAGCCAGCAGCAGTGTGATGTAGATTAAAAACAAAAACAAAAAAAGCAAAGCAATACAAATATGAATGAAAATAAGTTTTGGTTCTTAAATATGAGAGCTAAACTAGCATTGTGAAGCCTGCGACTTGACATCGTGATTCCGGACATGTAGCAAATTTTGCTTTTGCTAGAATTTCCTCCAGTTCCCTGTACCCCATGAACGATATTTCAAGGTCTGGGTTGTGTTCATGCTAATGTGCAATTTCATTTTACATAGTGACCTTTAATTGTCCCCCATGTATTGTACATCAGGGCCAACAAGAATACAAAAGTCCTTTTTTCGAAAAGGGAATATTTTTAGAAATTGCAATAGATTGCTTGTTTTATTCGAAGATTCAGGCAAGTGGATTAGATTTTAAGGTAATCATTGAAAAACGGAAGCTCTCCTTTTCGGTAAAAATGCAAATCCAAAAGCTAATGGCATTATTTTTTGGCATTTTCAAGGTATCCTTATTAAGTTAAGGGAGGATTCTTACAGTTTTCTCCATTTCCTTTTTCAAGTTCGTACCAGCGATGACCTGTGATTTTATTTTTTGGTGTTTCAACATTCAAATGAAGTGTGGTCTTCAAACACTTGGGAAGACCTTTCACGGCCACCCACAAGAAAACCAAGTACAATTCGCCCCACCGAAGTATATCTGATATTAGTTTTGTAAAACATTCAATCTATTAGGGGAATTCCCCTGATAATAATCCATACAATTTCGTAATTGTGCCGCATGGTGATAATAGCCTGGGCAGTATAAAATAATTGTTGTACTGCGAGGAAATGTAATTTTTATAAATTTAGAATAGTATTTGGTTTTCGACCTATCAACAGAAATTAAAGAATATACGAAGAGCTTCATGGCCAAGTCTTTGGTTCGAGAATTGGACGAGAAGGAATCGCAGACACCTAGGTCGCATTTTTTTTTATAAAAATTAAAAAAAAAAAAAAACGTGAAACCCCTCGGGTCCCATCAAGACCCCTGGGGTCTCTCCACGGTTTTTGGTCAGACTCTTGGATTGTTCAAGCTTTTTCTAGAGAAAAAAAAATTGCCAGACCCGAAAAAAGAGAGTTTTTTCTAGAGAAAAAAAATCGTCAGACCCGAAAAAAGTCTCGTCGAGATTTTTTCTATAGAAAAAATTCGCCAGACCCTTTTCTATAAAAAAAAATCGTCAGACCCTTGGCTCCAGTCGATGTTTTTTCTATAGAAAAAAATTCGCCAGACTCTTGGGTCTCGTCGAGGTTTTTTCTATAGAAAAAAATTCGTCAAGACTCTTGGCTCTAGTCGAAATTGTTTCCTATAGAAAAAAATTCGTCAAGACCCTTGGCTCTAGTCGAAATTGTTTCCTATAGAAAAAAATTCGTCAGACCCTTGGCTCTAGTCGAGGTTTTTTCTATAGAAAAAAATTCACCAGACCCTTGGGTCTCGTACAGGTTTTTTCTATAGAAAAAAATTCACCAGACCCTTGGGTCTCGTCCAGGATTTTTCTATAGAAAAAAATTCACCAGACCCTTGGGTCTCGTCAAGGTTTTTTCTATAGAAAAAAATTCACCAGACCCTTGGGTCTAGTCGAGGTTTTTTCTATAGAAAAAAATTCACCAGACCCTTGGGTCTAGTCGAGGTTTTTTCTATAGAAAAAAATTCACCAGACCCTTGGGTCTCGTCGAGGTTTTTTCTATAGAAAAAAATTCGTTAGACTCTTGGATCTACTCGAGGTTTTTTCTATAGAAAACAATTCGCCAGACCCTTGGCTCTAGTCGAGGTTTTTTCTACAGAAAAAAAATCGTGAGACCCTCAGTCATATGACTAGAGAGGGTATATATCATCTGATACGACTAAAACGTGCCTCATCGAAATAACGGTTTTAGACCTTAGGTCTCTTTGGACCAAATCAATTTCAGGACATCTGGAGTCGATCTAGCGATGTCCGTCCGTCTGTCCGACTGGGTGGTGCACACGATAACTCTCGAAGGGGGTATCCGATTTGAACCAAACTTGGTATACCGCAATACAGTGTGAGATAAAAAAATTGCAACAAAGTCAAACGCCATATTTTTTACATTTTTTTTTTTAATTTTATTGAATGAATGTAAAAAATGTCGGAAAAAGCGTCAAATTTTACAATAAATTTAGATTTGTTCGAATTGGTCACCTTTGGCACGAATTATGTCCTTCAAATGGTCAATGAAACAGTCACACACTGCCCGAATGTTGCTCTGCGGTATTTTGACCCATTCCCAGCGAAGCGACTGCTTGAGGTGATCGACACTTTGTTATTTTTTAATGCCAACCTCGCTTTCCAAAATGCTCCAGACACAATAGTCCAACGAATTGCTATCATGAGATTTTGGTGGCCATTGTGCGCTGGAAATGAAGCGAGGAACCTCATTTTTTAACCATTCTTGGGTGACGCGTGCTGAGTCCTGAGGTGCTGAGTCCTGTTGGAATGTCCACGGTCTGCGGCCAAAATGTTTGCGTGTCCAAGTCTTGAGAGACCCCAGAAGCCTCCTGATTGTTTTGCTTTAGAAAAAAACATCCCCAGACCCTTGGGTCTCGTCGAGTTTTTTTTAGATAAAAAAAACCGCCAGACCAACGGTTTTTTTCTTAAGAAAAAAAAAGGCGAAACGATTGGGTCTCGTCGAGGTTTTTTTCTAGCGGAAAATATTTGCCAGACCCTTGGGTATCCTCGAGATTTTTTTTCTATAGAAAAAAAAATTGCCAGTGCCTTGGGTATCGTCGAGATTTTTTTCTATAGAAAAACAATCGCGAGACCCTTGGATATCGTTGAGATTTTTTTTCATAGAAAAATAATTCCCAGACCCTTGAGAATCGTCGAGTTTTTTTTCTATGGAAAAAATTCCTCATGCCCTTGGGTATCGTCGAGATTATTTCTATAGAAAATTAATCACGATACCCTTAGATTCTAGCCGAGATTTTTCTATAGTAAAAAGCACTCGCCGAGTTTTTTTCTATAGAAAAACAATTGCGAGACTCCGAGGTTTTTCCCATAGAAAAACAATTGCAAGACCATTGAGGCGACCAGGTTTCTTCTCTGAAAAAAAAATTGCAAGACCCTTGGGTCCAAGTGACTTCCACATAACAAAATTGAAATTGTCGTCGTAAAAAATAATTAAATATTCATAGACGATTAACTTTGCTAAATTGAAAATTTGTCTGCTGCATTATTTTCGCCTTGCATAATATCTAATTGAAACACACAAAAACAAATCCACGCTTAAAATTAATTGAAAAAAAAAAAAAAAAAAAAACAACAACAACAAAACTGAAAGAAATTCACTTTGTTAGAAATCCACAACAACACATCTAGCCAGTCAATGCATTCGTGTGTGCAAGAACGTTTTGTTGTTGAAAAAAAAAAAAATCAAAACCGAATGCAATTTGTTTGTTGCCATTCGAAAGTGAGTCATTCCTTCATTCCAGCCAGCCCTACTCACTATTGTCGTTGATTACTATTAATTTAATGCGTACTATATTTTATTTTTCATTTTTTTGTCAATAATCGCGTTTTGTTTGTTTAATGTCGGTTGATATTCATTCACTGCGCCCCTTGTCACCTCCAAAATGTGGAACTTTCTTTTGGGTTTTTTTTTCGCTCTTTTTTGTGGCCCAACAGTTTCCGTTTATGGAATTCCCATGGCATGGCTTAAGAATGAAAACAACGAAATTTGTTTATTTTTTAGGTTTATTTAAAGGTGTCCACTGGTGGTTTATAAATAATAATGCTGCCTGTCCAGATCTCCGCTTTAAAATTATTAATTAAAATAAAAAAAATATGTTTCTTTTGTTCATCTGGTTTTTCCTCCACTCTTTTGCGCTGTTGCATTTTTTGTTTTGTTTATTTTGTCACAAAAATTGTTTTTTTTTTTTTTTTTTTAAGGCAATGTGTTATTGAACTCGAAACACAGCCTACAGTTCCACACTTGCAGCATAGGCCGTAATCCTCCTCGTCGTTGCTAGTGATAATATTTGTAAATACGCACGTACGTAGGTAGGTAGGTATGTGTGCCATAAAATCTGTAATCATGAAGACCTCATGATAACAAAGAAGGGGGGACCACACAAAGGAAGAGGAGAGAGTGGGAGATATTTAATTAAACAAATATTTGCAGATATTGAAGATTAACTGCATTTGCATTGACAAAAAAATGGAGATCTTTGGAATATATTTACAGGCCGTTGTAAATAACTATTTGTCTTTTTTATCTTCCTAGTCAATTGACGGCTACAATTGTATCTTATCATGAGGAAATTTATGGAACTATCATATTTCAATAGAGCAATGTGAGATTATTGATGGTGGGGTCACATAGATTTAAATACACAATGGATAGTAGAAAAAGGGGGATCAGGAATCAATGCTGCGATAGAAGGACTGGAAATCTTCTTCATAAAATACCAGGAAAGTCTTCCCGATTTGAAATCAAAAGATGGAAGAGATAAGAGAAAAGATCATGGAAGAGAAAAAGGTCATCTCTATAGAAGATTAGAGGAACTTATATTATATCGAAGACTTTTTCAAAGCAAGCTGAAAGAAGACCACAAAATTTTCTCCTTAGAAATGTTAAAGGTCTTCCTAATTGAAGGTCTTCTCATAGAAGAGCCACATGACTTCTCAGACAAGAAGACCACAAAGTTTTCTCCTTAGAAGTGTTGAAGGTTTTGTTAATAGATGGTCTTCTCAATTGAAGGTCTTCTCATGGAAGAGCCACATGACTTCTCAGACAAGAAGACCACAAAGTTTTCTCCTTAGAAATGCTGAAGGTGTTCTCATAGAAGAGCAACATGACTTCTTAGAGAAGAGCACAAGGTTTCTTGAAGTATTATCGATAGAAATTCAGGTTGACTTCCAAATACAAGAGCTGAAAGTCTTTGTGATTGGAAACAGGAAGATCTGGATGTCTTCTCCATAGAAAACCACAAGATCTTCCCCATAGAAGACTACAAGGTCTTCTCCACAGAGGACCACAAGGTGTTCTCTATGGAAGACCACAAGGTTTTCTGAATAGAAGTCGACAAATTCTTTTCTACAGGGTGAGATAAAAAAAACTGCAACAAAGTCAATAGCCATAATTTTCACATTTTTTTTTTAAATTTTATTGAATGAAAGCAAAAAATCTCGAAAATAGCATCAATGAAACCGTCTCATGCTGCCCGAATATTGCTCTGCGGTATTTTAGCCCATTCCCGGCGAAGCGCTTGCTTGAGGTGATCTACGCTTTGGCATTTTTTAGTGCCAACCTTGCTTTCCAAAATACTTCAGACACAATAGTACAACGGATTGGTATCCGAAGATTTTGATGGCCATTGTGCGCTGGAAATGAAGCGAGGAAGCTCATTTTGTAACCATTCTTGGGTGGCGGTGAGTGCGATGGTGCTGAGTCCTGTGGAATGTCCAGCGTCTGCGGCCAAAATGTTTGCGTGCCCAAGGCTTTAATACACCCTCCAGAATATTTTCGCTATAATATTCGGCACTTATTCTGATGCCACGGTCGATTAATACGAGCGGAGAGCGACCATCGTCTGTTATGGCGGCCCACACCATCACCATGGCCGTCGCTAGAGTTCTGGTGGCCAACCGAAGGTGCACATTTTCAGCTGTATGTTTACAAATGGCTGTACAATGAATGTTTCCTCGGAGAAAATCAAAATAGGCAGTTCACCACTTTCGACCAAGTGAAGCAAGCATTGTTGGGCCTTGGAATGTCGTTGAAAATGTCCTTCTCTAAAAGTTTACCAAAATCTGTTGGAAAATTCAGGCTTGAATTGTTTCAGAACAAATAAAGTTGAAAAAAGGATATGTGACGAACTATTGGTTTCTAGAAAAAATTCTGCTAAAAAATTCAGATTTGGAACAATTAAAGTCCTTTTGTCACTTGGAAAGACCTCAAACAAATAGATTTGGAAATCCATGTTTAAGGTATTTTTCGTTCTTGGAAAGTCGTCGAAAGAATCCTAGGAAAAAAAGCCATGTTGTAGACACTGTTGGTCTTTGTAAATATTCTTTTGAAAATTCACATTTGAAGCTCTTTGGGTCCTTGGAAAGTCCTCGAACAAATAATGGTGACAAATCCATGTCTGAGATACTTTTGATCCTTGAAAATTCGTCAAAGAAATCTTTTGAAAAATCCCCGAAGAAGTCCTTGTACTGTTGGTCCTTGACAAGACATGAAGTTATAGAAAATATCTGTTGAAAAAATAATTTTTGAAGCTCGGATAGCCCATGGAAAGTCCTCGAGCAAATACTGTTAAAAAATTCATGTTTGAGATTGAAAATTCACATTTGAGGTATTGTGGTCCTTAGAGGGTCCTCGACAAATACTGTCGCGGTTACCGTGTTTGAAACAATATAGGTCATTGAGGATAGTCCTCGGGAAAATCTCTTAAAAATTCACAATTATAGCCTTGGTGGTGGTTGAAAAATATGTTCTTTAAGAATCCTCGTTTTAGCATTGGTGGTCCTCGAAAAATATTCTTTAAAAACCCGAGGTTATAGCACTGGTGGTCCTCTTTAAATATTCTTTTAAAAAAAATTCTCGGTTATTCTTCTGGGGGTCTCGAGAAAATTCTCTTAGAAATCTACATCCATAGACTTGGTGGCCCTTAAAAAATATTCTATAAAATTCCTTGTGTATGGCACTGGAAGTTCTATAAAAATCTATGTCTATAGCCGAGGAGGTCCTTCAAAAAATTATTCTTTAAGATTTCTCGTTTCTTAAAAAAAAAACAAGTTTATAGCTCTGGTGGTACTTCAATAAGTTTCGTTTCAAAAATTCTCGGTTATCACTACGGAGGTCCTTCAAAAAATATTTTTTAAAAATTCTCGTATATAGAACCTCGGAAAAATTCTCTTAAAAATCTACGCCTTGATGGTGCTTAAAAAATATTCTTTAAAAATCTATGTTTATAGCCCTGGTGGTTCTTCAAAAATATTCTTCAAAAATCCTTGTATATAGCACTGAAGGTCCTTAAAAGTATTCAGTAAAAATCTATGTTTATAGCCATAGAGGTCCCTCAAAAAATATTCTTTAAGAATCCTTGTTAAAGCATTAGTGGTCCTCGAAAAATATTCCTTCAAAAGTTTTCTTTAAAAGAATCCTCGGTATAACTCTGGAGGTCCTTTAAAAAAGTTCTCGATTATTGCTTTTATGTTCCCTGAAAAAATCCTCGTTTATAGCTCTGACTATCCTTGAAGAAATAATCTTTTAAAACCCTCTTTGCCTTGGTGGTCGCTAAAAATATTCTTTAAAAAATCTTGTTTTGTAGCTTCAGAGGTCCTTGAAAAATTAGGTTTTTAAAATCCAGGTGTATATCCTTGGTAGTCTTTCAAAAAATGTCATTGGTTTTCTTTAAAAAATCCTCGGTTAACACTCTGGAGGTCCTTCAAAAAATATTTTTTAAAAATCCTCGTTAGAGCCACGGTCCTTAGAAAAATATTTTATAAAAAAATTCTCGTTTATTGCTTTCGTGTCCCTTAAAAAATTCTAGTTTATAGCTCTTGTGTTCCTTGAAAAAATAATCTTTAAAACCCATTTGGAAGCCTTGGTGGTCACTAAAAAATATTCTTTAAAAAATCTCGTTTGTATCTTCAAAGGTCCTTGAAAAATTAGGTTTTAAAATCCACGTGTATATCATCGTTCAAAAAAACATGTTTTAAAAATCCTCGTTTTTAAAAACAATTTCCGATTATTCCTTTGGTGTTCCTTGCAAAAAATCCTCGTCTATAGCTCTGATTGTCCTTGAAGAAATAATCTTCAAAAATCCTCGCTGGAAGCCTTGTTGGTCGGTTAAAAAATATTGTTTGTAAAAATCTTGTTTGTAGCTTCAGAGGTCCTTGTCCTTCAAAAAATGTCATTTGGTGATCCTTCAAAATAATATACTTCAAAAATCCGGCCCTTGAACATTTTCTTTAAAAAATCTAATTTTGAAGCTCTGTTGATCCCTGGAGAATATTTAGCCATCAAATACTACCAAATATTGTCAGAGGTCCTTGACAAAATATGTTTTTAAAATCCACGTGCATATCCTTGGTGGTCCTTCAAAAAGTTCATTGGTGGTCCTTCGTAAATATTCTTCAAAAATCCGCCCTTAAAGATTTTCTTTTAAAAATATAATTTTGAAACTCTGTTGATCGCTGAAAAATACTTAGCCATCAAATTCCATCAAATATTGTCAGAGGTCCTTGAAGTCCTTCGAAAAATGTCATTGGTGGTCTAATTTTGAAGCTCCGTTGATCCCTAAAAAGTATTTAGCCATCAAATTCCACAAAATATTGCCAGAGGTCCTTAAAAAATATGTTTTTAAAATCCACGTGTATATCCTTGATAGTCCTTCAAAACATGTAATTTTTGGTGGTCCTTCGAAAATATTCTTCAAAAATCCAGCCCTTCAAAATTTTCTCTGAAAAATCCAATTTAAAAAATGGAAAAATTATTTTTCGAAAATTTAATTGAAATAACAATTAATTCAAAATCCTTTACCTTTCTTTTTCGCCTTCTTTGCAGACATTACAAACATTGCGTATAACTACATGGGCATACAAATGCAACTTGTAAATAGGAAATTTGTTATCAAACCTCATCAGCAACAAGATCAGCAGGAGCAGCAAAAGCAACAGCCGACGGAACAACAACAGCAGCAGCAACAGCATCAATCAAATCAGCTACGAGAACGACAACAAATATTTGATCCACTTTAAAAGATTTCTTTGTTTGTAGGGGACCAAAAACACACAAAACAACAACAGCAGCAAGAAAAGAAAAAAGCGGCGACGACTGCAAACAAAATACAACGATATCATCTACGTAGAGTCAAGAAGAACCTCGGCAGCAAGTAACGTCATATAGCCACAAACAAAAAAAAAAAAATAAGGAGAAACACCAACAAATTCTGCCTGTGTAGGAGAACAAGACACGGCTGCCATTAACACTGCAGGCAGCAGGTCACAGGCCCATTCAACGATTGGAAGTTTGTATAAGATTAATTTAATGATTTTCATAGAATACAATTTTAAAACTGAATATGTTTTTTTTTTTAAATTTCCCGTAGGCTCTGCAAACCTCTGCATTTTTTTGGCCATCTATAATGGAGTCTTTAAAATGTAGCCGCCTTGTGACACCACTTCTGATAGCCTGCACATGTATTTTAAGTCCATTGCTGGAAGTTGATGCCCACATTTTGGTGTATCGACGCATTACCAATCAGGTTCTTGTAAATTTCTTACAGTTGTGTTACTAAAAATAGCGGACGTTTTGTATTAATATGCAATACTCTTTTTTTAAAACCCCTTAGCTCATTGAAGAATACAATGATATGCCTGCCCAATTTGGACCCAGTCTCACATCGAGCGGCATTAAGGTGTTTGCGGTGCCAGCTGTACCCAGCGATGCCTGTGACAAGATAGCACCACCACCAACCCACAACCTTGGTTATCCCAGCAATGCAAAATATGCAGCCATTATACAAAGGTGGGTGTCTATGCGTGTTTTGAGTACTGAATTTGCGATACTACTTGACATTAATTTTGAAATATGTTTTATTCACTTCTTTTCCGTAAAATATGCCGATTGTGTTTAGTAATCAAAGGTACTCTTTTTTTGTAAAAACAAGAAGGATATTTTTTTAAATGCACTATTTTTAAGCTTATTTTTATAATTTTCTAGCATTAAATTTTCTTTTAAATAATTGCATTTTTTCGGCATATTAACGTTTTGGACTGAAGGTATATGTCTGTTGTAAAATTGACGGACGTTTTGCACATCTTCGCCAATTCGTGTCCAATACTAATTGGTTTAAGGTGCGCAACTACATGAATTCAGCAACTGCTAGATAGAAGCGAGAAGGAGAAGAAAAGCTTTAGAAAAGTCTAGTGTAGGTGGCCTGACTAGCCAGGTAATGGCTTTGGCAAATTTCTTAGTAATGATGGGATCTATGCCTGAAAATAAAGAAATTCTGTCTCCAACCTGTCTCCAAATCGCCTATGTCTCTTATTGGATAACATGGGACAGGTGTAAAGTAGATTGATCAATCGTCTCTACCTCTTTTTCTTGCCATCAGATATCTTTTTCTTTTTTCTTGAGGTCAAATATCTGATACTGCATTCAGTATTTGAAAAATCAAATTTTGAAATTTGGATGGTCTTTAAAAATCCTCAAAAAAATGTGGCAATTTCTTAGTGATGATGGGATCTATACCTGAAAATAAAGTATTTCTGTCTCCAGCTTGTCTCCAAATAGCCTATGTCTCTTGTTGGATAAAATGGGGCAGATACAAAGTAGATGTTCAATCGTCTCTACCTCTTTTTCTTGTTATCAGATATCTTTTTCTTTTGAGGTCAAATATCTGATACTGCAGTGACCATTCAGTATTTGAAAAATCACATTTTGAAGTTTGGATGGTCCTTAAAAGCCCTCGAACAAATACTGTTGAAAAATTCTAGTTTGTGGTACTGTTGGCCCTTGGAAAGTCGACGAAAAAATCTCTTGAAAAATATGCGAAAAAAGTGCATATTTGAGGTTCTGTGGGTCCTTGAAAAGTTCTCGAAAATATTCCTTCCTTAACAGGTTATCGGAATCAGATTTAAGACATTGTTGGATCTCGAAAAGCCTCAACTAATTCTGTTAAAAATTTAACAATTTAAGGTCTTTTCATCCTTGACAAGTCCTCTTACCAATCTGTTGAGAAATCCATAATTGAGGTCACTGAAAAGTTGTTAAAAAAAATTGAAAATTTGTCGAAAAAACCATGTTTTAGGCACTCTTGGTCCTTGAAAATATTCTGCTAAAAATCCACATTTGAAGCACTTTGGGTCCTTAGAAAGTCTTTGAACAAATCATGGTGACAAATCCACGTTTGAGACACATTTGGTACTTGAAAAGCCGCCTAAAAATCAGTTGAAACATCCTCGAAGAAGTCGTTGTGTGCAGCACTGTTGGTCCTTGAAAAGTCTCGAAGTTATCCAAAATTTCTGTTGAAAATCGAATCTTAAAGCTCGGATAGTCCATGGAAAATACTATTGGAAAATTCCAGTTTGAGGTACTGTTGGACCTTGGAAAGTCGTCGAAAAAATCTGTTGAAAAATCTTCGTGGGCCTTTGAAAATTACTCCGTTCTGAGGGTCCTTGAAAAGTTCTCGAAAATATTCCTTCCTCAAAAGGTTATTGAAATTTGAGACATTGTTGGGTCTCGAAGAACCTCAACAAATTCTGTTGAAAATTTAATAATTTAAGGTCTTTTCATCCTTGGCAAGTCCTCTTACCAATCTGTTGATAAATCCATATTTGAGGTACTTTAGGTCCCTGAAAAGTTGTTGAAAAATTATCGCAAAAATCCATGTTTCAGGCACTCCTTGAAAAGATCCTGCTAAAAATCCACATTTGAAACACTTTGGGTCCTTGGAGAGTCCTCGAACAAATTTTTGTTAAAAAAATCCACATTTGAAGCTCTTTTGGTCTTTCGAAAATCCTTGAACAAATACTCTTGACCAATCCATGTTTAAGGTACGGTTGGTCCTTGAAAAGTCGTCAAAAATATCTGTTGAAAATTCTCGAAAAAAATCCATGTTTAAGATACTGTTGGTCCTAGTGCAGTTGAGGCACTGTTGGTCCTAAAAAAGATATCGAAAATATCTGCTGAAGACCCATTTTAAAGCTCGGATAGTCCATGGAAAGTCCTCTATTAAAAAATTCTTGTTTGAGGTTGAAAATTTACATTTGAGGCACTATTAAGGTTACCGTGTTTGAAGCAATATAGGTCCTTGAAAAGTCCTCGGGAAAATTCTCCTAAAAATCTAGATCTATAGCCTTTGTGGTCCATGAAAAATATTCCTTAACAATCCTTGTTTATAGCACTGGATGTGCTTTCTGTAAAAATCCATATCTATAGTCCCGGAAGGTCCTTTAAAAAATATTCTTTTATAATCCTCGTTTTAGCATTCGAACAATATTCTTTAAAACACCAAATTTATAGCTCTGGGGTGGTACTTCAAAAAGTTATCTTTAAAATATTCACGGTTATCCTAGTTTATAGCCCTGCTTGGGCCCACCACGATTGTTAGATCAGATGTTCTTCAGCTCCTCCAAATTAACGGCCAGATGTGCTTAGATATCATACAACCGGTTTAAAAGTGACATCTTCTGTTAGCTTCTTCGATGGGAGATTTTTGAAGCTGCTGGCATCAGTCGTTAAATCAATCGACTGGCATTCGCCTCGAGCTAATTCAACACTTCATTTCCTACTACAATATTGCTATGTCCTGCAACAGAAAAGACTTTACCATCCTGAACATAATTGTGCCAAAACTATCCTGGTTTGTCTAGGCAGCCGACGTTCTTCAGCTGCTATGAATGGGAAATGAACTCCCAGAATGACATTCATACCTGACTCACATTTGCTGATTAGCTTCTTGATCTAGAAACACTCTCCTACAGCGTTGGTCATCAATCTCCCCCTCTTCTTCCTGACACGCCTGGGTGGAGGAGTTTTATCCACCATATAATGCTTTGGATGACTCCCACGATAACTCGCAAGTAGGTACTGCTTGGAAAGCATATGGTTATTTTGACGTACGGGAAGTATCTTTAGCTCTTCCTGTAGATGGTCTACTTGTGTCATTGGGAGGTACCCAGTTGCAGTCCTCAGGGCGGCATTCTGGCTGGTCTGGCTGGTTCTTCTACTGCGTGGCACTTGAATTTGCAGGCCACAATGGAGTTGCATAGCTGACTAAAGAGGCCAACAAAGTCTCCTTCTCCGCACCCGAAGTGCACCTTGAGGATCTTACTCCTACTTTTCATTTTGTCACAGATAGCTGTGGCTTGAACCAGCTGCCAAATGTAACCCCTAGGATATTGATGTAATTCCTGTTCGGAATTAAATTTCCCTCCCTCTATTCGGCTGTGTAGGCGGTAAGCTCCGTGAGACCCCTAGGTGGAATTCGTGTTTGGAATTAAATTTCCCACAATCTGCACATATATTTGCAGGCCACACTCGAGTAGCATAGCTGACCACAGATGTCAACATAGTCTCCTTCTCCGCACCCGAAGTCCGCCTTTTGTCACAGATAGCTGTGGCTTGAACCAGCTGCCAAATGTAACCCCTAGGATATTGAGGTAATTCCTGTTCGGAATTAAATTTCCCTCCCTCTATTCCGATGTGCAGGCGTTATGCTCGGCGAGACCCCTGGTTGTAATTCAAGTTCGGAATTAAATTTCCCATAACCTGCACATGTATTTGCAGGCCACACTCGAGTTGCATAGCTGACCACAGATGTCAACATAGCCTCCTTCTCCGCACCCGAAGTGCGCCTTGAGGATCTTACTCCTACTTTTCATTTTGTCACAGATAGCTGTGGCTTGAACAAACTGCCAAATGTGACCCCTAGGATATTGAGGTAATTCCAGTTCGGAATTTAATTTCCCTCCCTCTATTCGGCTGTGTATACGGTAAGCTGCGCGAGACCCCTAGGTGTAATTCATGTTCGGAATTAAATTTCCCACAACTTGCACATTCAGCTGTGTTATCATATCCGCATACCATGTGGTAAGGAGTGTGATCGTTGATTTAGTGGCGGATATTTTCATATCTCTCGTGTGGAAGTAGGCTGCAACCTTACACATATGTCATCCACACCGACGTCATGATCGTACATTTATCCCCATACTTTACGATTTCTATGCCGTCTGGAGGGCGAGGAATTTGGGAAAGGAAGTGGGTTAAACAAAATAAAATACAGAATTAAAATGCATGGCAGTCCAGTGGCTTTTTTTGTGGAAGATCTGAGGCCAAGAAGGCAGTATCTAAATTTTTAAAGACATGGGAGAACAAACTACCCATTAACTATAGGATTCTAAAGTTCCAATTTTTTTAGACAATTTAAATGGCCTCCAATGGATGCGAAAAAATTAACGTTTCAAAAATGTTATTTTTTATTTAGGGCAGATAAAAGAATTAATTTTTAAAACCTCAAAGATTTTTCCAGTTTCAATCATTTTTTGAGATATTTGAATAGATTATCTCGAATAACAAAAGTTTAATTTTTTTCAATTTTTTTGTCATTTAATTTGCCTTTATTTAAATTCTTTTTTTAACGCTTTCAAATACCTCTATTTATCTCTTAAGCTAATCCATTTTCTAAACCATCAAATTGCATCAAATATTCTTCCCTTTTATTCCTATCATTTCAGAGGCGGTGTGGATTGTACATTCGAGTTGAAGGTACGCAATGCCCAGGCGGCACGATTCGATGCTGTGGTTATCTACAACAATAACAGTGATGATTTGGGTTTGTATTCTCGAAACCCCTTTTAAATGAACTAAATTCTAAACAAATGTTTAATTTTCAATTTCAGAACACATGTCAGCCCAAAATTCCAGCGGTATTATGATACCATCGGTCTTTGTTGGCCATACCACGGGCATGAATCTGCGATCATTCTTTACACCGGAAATTGTTTTGGTCATAAACGATGAGCTGCCATTCAATATCAATACCCAATTGATTTTACCATTTTCCATTCTAATTGGTCTATGTTTTCTAACAATGGTAGGTCGCTGAGATTTTCCTAAATTTTGAAATTTGAATAACTTCTCTAATTATTCCCATAGATATTCTACATGATCTACAGATGTATACGAGAAGAAAGAAATTTGCGTCGCTACCGCTTGCCCAAGCGCATGTTGAAAAAGCTGCCCATCATAAAGTTTACGAAAAACAGCAACATTGCCTACGACACTTGTGTGATCTGTATCGAGACATTTGCCGAGGGTGATAAATTAAGGGTCTTACCATGCAAACATCGTAAGTTTTTGAGAAGATTTTTGTTTCCAAGGAAATTAGGAATACAATTTATCGTTTCTTTCTTTCCTAACAGCCTATCACAGCAATTGCATCGATGTTTGGCTAACCGAAAACAAGCGCGAGTGCCCAATTTGCAAGCGTAAGGTTTTTACGAAAGGCGAAGCCCGATCACAACGGAATCGACAGTCTTCATTGGATAGTATAGTGGATACTGATGACGATACCGCCCCATTGTTACAACAATCGTCGCAGAGTTCATTGACAACAACAATGTCATCGAACAACTCCACACGTCATGGTACATTTCAACGGGGCTCCACACCGGGTGGTGGTGCAGCAGATGTTACATCGGATGATGAAAATAGTAAGGATTCAAGATTAAAATATAAGAGATCTTATCTAGGATTGTCGAAGTTTTTTTTTTTCATAAAAAAAATCGCCGAGACCAATTGTATGTCTCCGATGTTTTTTCCATATCAAAAAATTCGCCGAGGTTTTTTCCATAGAAAAAAGTTTTTTCTTTAGAAAAAAATTCATGAGACCCCTGGGTCTCTTCGAGGTTTTGTCTTTAGAAAAAAATTCGCCGAGACCCTTGGGTCTCTTCGAGGTTTTGTCTTTAGAAAAAAATTCGCCGAGACCCTTGGGTCTCTTCGAGGTTTTTTTCTATAGAAAAAAATTCGTGAGGCCCATGGGTCTATCTGAGGTTTTTTTCTATAGAAAAAAATTCGCCGAGACCCTCGGTCTCTCTGAGGTTTTTTCTATAGAAAAAAATTGGACGAAACCCTTGGGTCTCTTCGAGGTTTTTTCTTTAGAAAAAAATTCGCCGAGACCTTTGGGTCTCTTCGAGGTTTTTTCTTTAGAAAAAAATTCGCCGAGACCTTTGGGTCTCTTCGAGGTTTTTTCTTTAGAAAAAAATTCGCCGAGATCTTTGGGTCTCTTCGAGGTTTTTTCTTTAGAAAAAAATTCGCCGAGACCCTTGGGTCTCTTCGAGGTTTTTTTCTATAGAAAAAAATTCGCCGAGACCCTTGGGTCTATCCGAGGGTTTTTTCTATAGAAAAAAATTCGCCGAGACCCTTGGGTCTCTTCGAGGTTTTTTTCTATAGAAAAAAATTCGCCGAGACCCTTGGGTCTCTTCGAGGTTTTTTTCTATAGAAAAAAATTCGCCGAGACCCTTGGGTCTCTTCGAGGTTTTTTTCTATAGAAAAAAATTCGCCGAGACCCTTGGGTCTCTTCGAGGTTTTTTTCTATAGAAAAAAATTCGCCGAGACCCTTGGGTCTCTCTTCGAGGTTTTTTTCTATAGAAAAAAATTCGCCGAGACCCTTGGGTCTCTCTTCGAGGTTTTTTCCATAGAAAAAAATTTGCCGCGACCCTTGGGTCTCTTCGAGGTTTTTTCCTATAGAAAAAAATTTGCCGAGACCCTTGGGTCTCTTCGACGTTTTTTTCAATAGAAAAAAATTCGCCGAGACCTTTGGGTCTCTTCGAGGTTTTTTCTTCAGAAAAAAATTCGCCGAGACCTTTGGGTCTCTTCGAGGTTTTTTCTTCAGAAAAAAATTCGCCGAGACCTTTGGGTCCCTTCGAGGTTTTTTCTTTAGAAAAAAATTCGCCAAGACCTTTGGGTCTCTTCGAGGTTTTTTCTTTAGAAAAAAATTCGCCGAGACCCTTGGGTCTCTTCGAGGTTTTTTCTTTAGAAAAAAATTCGCCGAGACCCTTGGGTCTCTTCGAGGTTTTTTCTTTAGAAAAAAATTCGCCGAGGCCCTTGGGTCTCTTCGAGGTTTTTTTGTATGGAAAAAAATAGGCCGAGACCCTTGGGTCTCTCCGACGTTTTTTTCCATAGAAAAAAATTCGACGACACCCTTGGGTCTCTTCGACGTTTTTTTCCATAGAAAAAAATTCGCCGAGACCCTTGGGTCTCTTCGAGGTTTTTTCTATAGAAAAAAATTCGCCGAGACCCTTGGGTCTCTTCGAGGTTTTTTCTATAGAAAAAAATTCGCCGAGACCCTTGGGTCTCTTCGAGGTTTTTTCTATAGAAAAAAATTCGCCGAGACCCTTGGGTCTCTTCGAGGTTTTTTCTATAGAAAAAAATTCGCCGAGACCCTTGGGTCTCTTCGAGGTTTTTTCTATAGAAAAAAATTCGCCGAGACCCTTGGGTATCTTCGAGGTTTTTTCTATAGAAAAAAATTCGCCGAGACCCTTGGGTCTCTTGGAGGTTTTTTTCCTATAGAAAAAAATTCGCCGAGACCCTTGGGTCTCTTCGACCCTATAGAAAAAAATTCGCCGAGACCCTTGGGTCTCTCGAGGTTTTTTTCTACAGAAAAAAATTCGCCGAGAGACCCTTGGGTCTCTTCGAGGTTTTTTTCTATAGAAAAAAATTCGACGAGACCCTTGGGTCTTTTCGAGGTTTTTTCCCCTTGGGTCTCTTCGACGTTTTTTTCCATAGAAAGAAATTCGCCGAGACCCTTGGGTCTCTTCGACGTTTTTTTCATTAGAAAAAAATTCGCCGAGACCCTTGGGTCTCTTCGACGTTTTTTCCTATAGAAAAAATTTGCCGAGGGTTTTTTCTTTAGAAAAAAGCCAAATAATTTTCTGATTTATTTATCCTTCCTTTTATTTTTCCCAGTGCTATCATCAACCCCTGCTCGTCGCATAAATCCCTTTGACCGTTCACCAAACCTACCACCCCACTTGGCGGCTCAACTTAACAGTGATGGCTCCAGAAGTATTTGGTCCCTACCAATATTCAGGTATGTCGAATCAGTTGGATTAATTGAGTTTGAATTAATTTGAAATGTTTCCAGATGGTTTAGACGCAACCCAACCACAATTAGTGTGGCAGCACCACCCTATCATGAGGATATACTGAGTGATGTCATAGCTGGTGAGCCTACGGCCAATGCAAATGCCTCTACCATGGACGGCAGTGTGGCAGCGACGCCACGCTCCCAATCGATAGCTACACATTCGTCAAATAATGTTCTAAATCCGAATTTAAGTGGTTCATTTAAGGAGGAAGACGATGATGAGCCGCCGTTACAGTGTATATATGAACCGGCTAGTGTTGTGGTGACTAGCGATCCCATAGATCAGCCACAGGCCAGTGGCACTGTAGATAATAGCCAACAACCGGTTGTGGAGAATGAAACAGATTCGGTTTTTATACAAACACCTACCCAAGGTGGCATAGCTGTGGCTGCATTGCCCCGAGATAGCAATGATGAACCAGTACACACATCCCATGCCACCCGCAGTAATACGGCAAGATTTTGGTAATGGACAAAAAAAAAGAAAACGATTAGATTTTTGTTTGTTGTAAAGAGGGAGGCGGAGGAGGAGTAGGGCGGAGGAGTTGGGAGCTTAAGCTAAATGTATGCAAAATTATTTAGTCATTTTTTATTTTTATTACTCTGTTGTTGTATTTTGCCATGGCTTCCCCTTTTGATAAGGTTTTTGTTTTTTTGTTTTCCAAGGAAACAAACAATTCGTCCTTCCTCCTTTCTTAGAAACCAACTTTATTAACAAAAAACAGAAAACAGAATAAATATTGTGATTTATATAAAACCGTTGTATTGGTTTAAATTGAAAAGAAACAAAAGAAAAAAAATAAGAATTAAATATAAATATTAAAATAATTAAAAAGAAATTAGCTTACCTACCTAAAAAAAGTGTTAAGAAGAAAAAAAAAAAAAAAACAATTATAAAACTAAAGCAGAACATAAAACTACATTGTAAGCCTGTCTATGATCTTTACTAAGGTTAGAATTCAAAGTAAGTGAATTAAAATTTTGTTCATTATGTAGCCATTGGAATGTGGCATTTTCCCAGATAATTTTATAGATTACCTTGGAAAATGTGATATTTCAAATGTCTAAATTTTAAATTTAAAATCAAAATCTTTTCCCCCTCATATTCTCAAAACTGTATTAGAGCTATTTGAATATAGTCTAGCTAGGATATCCTTTGTTCTTTTTCTATTACCAAAACAAAACAAATTTTTCCATAATTTTCTTTTTTTATTTGGAACTGTAAATGTTACTTATTTTGGAAAAAAAAAACTATCCACTTGAAATAATGATAAAAAATAAGCAACAAAATACTAATATTAGTATAAATATTTTATATCTCTCTCATTGTTTTTTCTTTTATTATTGTTATTTTTATTTAATTTTTTTACTTTGTTGTACCATTTGTTTAGGCAAAAGTAATGACATTTTCCAAAAAAAATCTCTGCAATTTTTGTACCAAAAAAAAAAAAACTTATCTAAAAAGGATGCTTTTTAACAATACCACTGAGAGCATCCTTTTTTCTTTTAAAATAACCCGCAATCGAACACAATTATAATTTTAATTTGTTTTTTAATAATTTTTATTATTATTATTATTTTGTCTCATCTTACCCCCATTGATTGGCAAACATGTATGTGTTTTAGTTTTAACCAAGTACCTTTATTATTAATTATTATTATTATTATTATATAGATAAAAAAACAACTCTTTTTTTGTATTGTTAATAAGTCCTCCTTGTATATGTATATTTAAATGAAGAAAGAATTCAAAAAAATACAAATAAAACGAAAATTGAATTATATATTTGTTATTATAAAAATGAAAACGAAAACAAAAACATTTTATTATTATACACAGCAAACATAACCCAATCATACCTATATACATATATATAATTTCTTTTTTTTTAGTTTTAATTTAAAACAAATGAAAAATCAATAAAGATTTTTAGTCATTTTTAAAAAAAGACAAAAAAACATAAAACCAAATTTGAAGGGACTTTTTATTAAATTATTAATTAAAAGAGCTCCAAGGGTTTCGTTTGAATTTTTTTCTATGGAAAAAAACCTCAAAGAGACCCAAGGAGGGTCTCGTTGAATTTTTTTCTATGGAAAAAACCTCAAAGAGACCCAAGGAGGGTCTCGTTGAATTTTTTTCTATGGAAAAAACCTCAAAGAGACCCAAGGAGGGTCTCGTTGAATTTTTTTCTATGGAAAAAACCTCAAAGAGACCCAAGGGTCTCAGCGAATTTTTTTCTATAGAAAAAACCTCGGAGAGACCCAAGGGTCTCAGCGAATTTTTTTCTATAGAAAAAACCTCGGAGAGACCCAAGGGTCTCAGCGAATTTTTTTCTAAAGAAAAAACCTCGGAGAGACCCCAGGGTCTCAGCGAATTTTTTTCTATAGAAAAAACCTCGGAGAGACCCAAGGGTCTCAGCGAATTTTTTTCTATAGAAAAAACCTCGGAGAGACCCAAGGGTCTCAGCGAATTTTTTTCTATAGAAAAAACCTCGGAGAGACCCATGGGTCTCGTTTGAATTTTTTTCTATCGAAAAAACCTCGGAGAGACCCAAGGGTCTCGTTGAATTTTTTTCTATGGAAAAACCCTCAAAGAGGCCCAAGGGTTTTTGTGAAATTTTTTTCTATGGAAAAAACCTCGAAGAGACCCAAGGGTTTCGTTTGAATTTTTTTCTATGAAAAAAAACCTCAAAGAGACCCAAGGGTCTCGTTTGGATTTTTTTCTATGAAAAAAACCTTGAAGAGACCCAAGGGGGGGTCTCGTTGAATTTTTTTCTATGGAAAAAACCTCAAAGAGACCCAAGGGGGGTCTCGTTGAATTTTTTTCTATGGAAAAAACCTCAAAGAGACCCAAGGGGGGTCTCGTTTGAATTTTTTTCTATGGAAAAAACCTCAAAGAGACCCAAGGGGGGTCTCGTTTGAATTTTTTTCTATCGAAAAAACTTCAAGGAGTCCCAAGGGTCTCGTTTGAATTTTTTTCTATCGAAAAAACCTCGGAGAGACCCAAGAGTCTCGTTTGAATTTTTTTCTATCGAAAAAACCTCGGAGAGACCCTGTTATAATTGAATTCGTTTATTGAACTGAAAAAACTGAGAATACATATTTGACAACAAACATATTGATATCAAAGCCTATTAAGATTATGTTAATAATATTGGACAAAGTGTTTTATGCTAAAGTACAATATTTGATTCAATTCTCAACACTCTACCTGAATTAAATATTTCTTACATTATAATTACAAAACAATACAAGTTGGAAACTAAGCAATGCCAAAAACTCCTTTAAAATATTCCAACTTCTGTGGAGTTACTGCCTTGGTAAAAACGTCAGCAACCATTTCTTTTGTTGAAAGATACTTCAAAGATATTTCATTGTTGTCAATTTTCTGTTTGATAAATTTGGCTTTAATATCCACATGCTTTGTCCTTGACGAATACTTGTTATTTGTAGCCACTTGTATAGCTCCTTTGTTATCACAATACAAAACCATGTTGACATTGTTGTTGGGATTGAGTTCTTTTTCTAGTCGTTTCAACCAAACAGACTCCTGTATAGCTGCAGTTATTGCCATGAACTCAGCTTCCGTTGAAGATAGTGCCACCGTTTTTTGTCTTTTTGTGGACCAGGATATTGCTGCTGATTGAAAAATAAAGACATAACCAGTTGTCGAATGGCGGTCGTCCAAACTTCCAGCCCAATCTGCATCGCAATAGCCGGTAATATCTTCTTCTAAATTTTTCTTATAGATGAGCCCTTGTTCTATAGTTCCTTTGAGATAACGCATTATTCTTTTTACAGCTTCCCAATGCGCTCTACCAGGATTTATTCCGAATCGGCTCAGGATATTCACAGCATAGTATATATCAGGGCGCGAAACCTGAGCAGCGTACAACAAGCACCCAATAGCTTCCATATACGGTGTTTTCGACATTTTTTCCTTTTCAACTTCGGTTTTAGGGGACATACTTTCGTATAACTTCTTATTATAGTCCATTGGAGTTGAGGAAGGGTTACAGTCATTCATTCCGAAACGTGTCAATACATCTGATATGTACTTAGACTGATCAATTTTGATTCCATCTTCAGTTCGGGATATTGTCATACCAAGAACATTAGACACTTCCCCCATGTCTTTCATTTTAAATGTTCTTGAAAGTGTATTCTTGACAGAATTTATTTCGTTTTCGTCATTGGAGAATATAATTACATCATCTACGTATATTGCAATATAAATCTTCTTTTCATCTGTCACCTTTGAATATACGCATTGATCCACTTCTCCTTGTACAAAACCCATATCGATAAGTTCCTTGTTTATGGTTTCATTCCATACTCTCCCAGATTGTTTCAAGCCGTATATGGATCTGTTAAGCTTACAGACTTTATTAGAAGCATCACGGAAACCTTCGGGTTGTTCCATATATATGGTTTCTTTTAAAATCCCGTTTAAATAAGCGCTAACGGCATCCATCTGATGAATCTTCATGTCATATTTTGCTGCCAATGCTGCTAAATACCTTATTGATTCATACCGAACAACTGGAGAGAATGTTTCCATATAATCGATACCTTCAGTCTGTGTAAATCCCTTTGCGACTAGTCTTGCTTTCCATCGCAACGTGTTTCCATTGGAATCTTGCTTGGTCTTGAACACCCATTTTGACTTCAGAGCTTTGCATCCTTCAGGAAGTTGAACCAAAGTCCAAGTATTATTGACTTTCAAAGAATTCATTTCATCTTGCATGGCTTTTTTCCAATGTTCAGAATCTTCAGACGACATTGCCTGTTTTATAGTCTGGGGGTCTGAAGAAACATATTCTATTGCAGAAAATGCCGTTGATCGTTGATTACGGTTTGCTATCCTTTCTGATCTTCTAATATTTTCAGACGTTGGTATTGGTCGTGAATTACATTGATTTGGTTCCCATTCTTCATCATTTGGGTCCACATAGCCATTGTTATCAAAACATTCTGAATCCAAAAACTCACTATCAGTTTCAGAATCACTACGAGGCTCATTTTGAATTACATTATTGCCATCCAATTCGGTTGACTCCATATTCGTTGATACATTATTCACTGTTTGGTTCAAAACATTATCCATTTCTTCATCTGGAGATTGAATTAGCAAAGGATTGTACAGATTAGAAGATGGCGTTTCAATGTTTGAGTGAACATTTTCAAGAAATACCACGTCACGGCTAACAATTATTTTTTGATCACTTGGATCAAATAATCGATACGCTTTACTTTCCGTGCTGTATCCAACCATGATACATTCTAATGATTTTGGATCAATTTTAGATCTTCGTTGTTTTGGTACATGGACCAAAGCTGGACATCCGAAGACTCTAAGATGCTTCAAATTTGGTTTTCGACCCGACCATAGTTCTTCGGGACATCCTTCATTTCCTCGGCATGGCACTCTATTTATCAAGTACGATGCGGTAGAAGCAGCTTCTGCCCAAAAACGTTGATCTAATCCACTGTCGATAAGCATACATCTTACCCTTTCTATAATCGTCCTATTTATTCGCTCGGCTACACCATTTTGCTCGGGTGTATATGGACATGTTTTTTGATGTATTATTCCACTTTTTTTCAAGAATTCAGAAAAATGTTTGCCGGTGTACTCACCCCCATTATCCGATCGTAGAATCTTGATTTTTTTAGAACACTGGTTTTCCACTAAAGCCTTGAATTCTAAAAATTTCGGAAATACCTCAGACTTTTTCTTGATTGGATAGACAAACAGTTTTCTTGAGTAGTCATCCACAAATGTCAACAAAAAACGAGCTCCCGAGAACGAACTTTCTTTTAGTGGACCAACAACATCCGAATGAATAATTTCCAATAGCTCTTTGGCTTGAGTACCGACTTCTCTACTCACTTTTCGGGTTTGCTTTCCCTTCACGCAGACAACACATGGTTCAGAACATTCTTTGCCAAAATTTATGCCAACATTTGCGCTCTTGACATCACCCAGTTTCGCATTACAGATATGCCCCATCCTTCGGTGCCACAAATTGAAATCATTGGCCATGGTAAAAGCTTTACCCTTTTCCTCTTTCGAATTGCATTCTAACCGGTACAATTGATTCTGCGCAGTTGCCGTTGCTATAACACGTCCATTTTTATCAGAAATGCGGCATTTTTCACCTTCAAAAGTCACCCTTTTTCCATTCTTAGCCATTTGTCGAACGGAGAGTAAGTTGGTACACAAATCTGGAACATACTCCACGTCTTTGATTGTAACACATCTCTTATTTTTTCCAGAGCCAACTTCAATATCAACATATCCAATGGAGTCCACTACGAGTTCATGCTTATTCGCAATAATCACCTTTTTATTAAAAACATCACGGATGTTGTACATGTGGTTCTTCTCATTCGTCATGTGGTTGCTTGCTCCACTATCAACGTACCAGGCATTTAAACAATCTGAACTTGAAGTGGATTCCGTAGCTTTTGCACACGCGCTCACATCGGTAGTTGTAGCAAATAAAACATCCGACTTCTTTTCATGCTTCCTTGTAGCTCCATTGTCATTTGGCTTCAATTTGCTGGGACAATTTCTTGAGATGTGTCCAAGTCCACTGCAATTGTAGCATTTGATTTGCTTCTTACCTTTCTTGATACCTTTAGATTGTAACGCCGATTCTTTTTCTGGAGCTCGATCGAATTTCGCATCTTGAAGTAGAACATTCTTCACCTTATCCACCGTCAATTTCTCCTTGGTATTTTCCACGGCCATCACAAGCGGTTTAAAGTCATCCGTTAATCCAGCTAACATTAGAGATGCAGTCAACTCATCGTCAATGTTTAAGCCAGCATTTTTCACTTTAATAGCCACTATAACGATGTCATTGACGTATTCCTGAATGGATCCATAGTTCTGTAGCTTGATGTTCACAAATTGCTTCAGCAATTCAACTTTTCTGGTAAGGCCCGTATCTTCGTACGCATTCATCAATGCACTCCAGGCATTTTTCGCGGTAGTTGAAGTTGCAATGTGGCCGTAATTGTCTGGTTCAATCATCAATGTTATCTCGGCTAAAGCTCTCGCATTCAATTCAGCATCAGCGGTATTATCAACACATGCCTTCCAGCACCCTTTAATGACCAGATATGATTGCGCTTGCCTCTTCCAAACATCAAAGTTTTCGCGTCCACGCAATCTTTCTAGCGGAAAAGCTATGTTATTACCAGCCATTTTAATTTTTTTTCACAAACGTCACTAGTTTTCAATATTAAAAAATGTATCTATTTTGTTTTGCCGAATATTTTTTTCAAACGTGACTAAGGCCCATAACCTGTTATAATTGAATTCGTTTATTGAACTGAAAAAACTGAGAATACATATTTGACAACAAACATATTGATATCAAAGCCTATTAAGATTATGTTAATAATATTGGACAAAGTGTTTTATGCTAAAGTACAATATTTGATTCAATTCTCAACAGACCCAAGGGTCTCAGCGAATTTTTTTCTATGGAAAAAACCTCGGAGAGAACCAAGGGTCTCAGCGAATTTTTTTCTATAGAAAAAACCATCGGAGAGACCCAAGGGTCTCAGCGAATTTTTTTCTATAGAAAAAACCTCGGAGAGACCCAAGGGTCTCAGCGAATTTTTTTCTATAGAAAAAACCTCGGAGAGACCCAAGGGTCTCAGCGAATTTTTTTCTATAGAAAAAACCTCGGAGAGACCCAAGGGTCTCAGCGAATTTTTTTCTATAGAAAAAACCTCGGAGAGACCCAAGGGTCTCAGCGAATTTTTTTCTAAAGAAAAAACCTCGGAGAGACCCCAGGGTCTCAGCGAATTTTTTTCTATGGAAAAAACCTCGGAGAGACCCCAGGGTCTCAGCGAATTTTTTTCTATGGAAAAAACCTCGGAGAGACCCCAGGGTCTCAGCGAATTTTTTTCTATGGAAAAAACCGCGGAGAGACCCCAAGGTCTCGTTTGAATTTTTTTCTATGGAAAAAACCTCGGAGAGACCCAGGGGTCTCAGCGAATTTTTTCCTATGGAAAAAGCCTCGGAGAGACCCAGGGGTCTCAGCGAATTTTTTTCTATGGAAAAATCCTCGGAGAGATCCAAGGATCTCGTTGGATTTTTTTTCTATTGAAAATACCACCGAGATATAGAAAAACGATATCTGGAATTTTTATTATTTATCCCACCATTATAGAATCCTTAAGGACTCCTCAAGGACTCATTTTGTTTCCAAAGACAGATGATTTTTTTTTCAAAAATAATTTTTTGTTTTTAATATTACAACAACAATTTGCTTATGTTTATCAAATTATTTACAAATTAACTATGGCCAATTTAAAAGGATACTTAAATTTTTTAATTGAAATTAAATTTTCAAAACAAATACAATCACAGTTTTTATGTTTTTTTTTTGGAGAAATTAAAAAGAAAATTTTAATTTAATTTTAAAATTAATTTTTATTGAAATTTTGTTAAATATTTTAAAACAAATGAAATGATTTGAAAAATACAAAAGTTTGAAATTTTGTTATTTTCAAATCAAGACATTTGTGGGTTTGGAAAATATGAAAAATATGCCAAAAATTGGAAAATTTGTTGCAAAAATTTTCAGAATCTAAAGAAGAAAAATCTTTTGAAAGAAATTTTCCAAATCTTTGGACCTTTACTTATGCGGACTGTCGTTTTGTGTCCTTGATAAGTAAAACCTTTAAGGGAGAGGATTTTTTTCTCACTCTCTCTCTCTTTTTCTCTCTCTCACGCTCTACCTAACCTGCCTGTCTTTTTTCTCTATTCCCAAGGAATTAAAGCCTTAAGCTTATCGGTGTCGACAAGCCAGCCCAATTCCTTTTTTCCTATTGCTCAAAAAAGGAGACGATCTCCCTGGATCTTCTGTGCGTTCAAAGATCTAAAAAACAAGATCGCCTTTTAATGCCCATCCAGGCCCAGAAAAAAAATGTTCGAAAGCCAAACATTTTGCATAGGGCCATGCCAGGGTGGAGTTAAAAAACCAAGTCTATAATAGAACCCTATAATACCCTTTTCATTCCTTAAATTCTGGTTTCTCATTGAATTCCTGTTTCACATTGGTCGTGGGGGTGTTGGGAGCCGCTGCAGCAGGCAAAGTGCTGGAACCCAATAAATTGGCCATATTGGCAGCTGTTAGACCTCGGGGATACAGATTTTGATAGAAGAGAGGATTTTGCAGTTGAAAGAGAGCCATCAAATGAGTCAGCTGGAAGTTGGGAGCATTGGGATCCACATTGGCGGGATTGAAGTTGGCCATAAAGGGGTTCATCAGGGGCATGGTGGGGGCCAAGGGATTTGCTGTACCGACCGCCGGCAGATTGGCATTTGAAATGGAGCTGTTGGAGTTTGAGTCGGCTGGCGATTCCAATTTCAGGCGTTTGGCCTCACTGGCTTCGGCAGGTAATTGCTGTAAAAAAAATTGAAAATAATTTTAATTTAATTGAATTTTAATTTTTTTTAGGTTAGGTTTACTTACAATTTTCTTTGGTGGCCTACCCCTTTTGCGGGCCAAGAAGTGTTCGGCGGACAGCGAAGACAAGGGGGTTGAGGTATTTGTGCTTAGATTTTTGTTGGCAGTAACGGCTGCTGGTGGCATGGCGCCCACACTGTTGGGCGACTCTTCTTCGCTGGAATCCCTTTGGCCTTTGAACTGCTGATAGTTTTGCTCCCCCTCGGCCCGATCATGTTTACGTTTGTGCGAAATCATTTGGGTACTGGAGTGCAGAATGTAATTGCAATTCTCCCGCACACAATGGATGTGATTGGAGACACAGGAGTATTTGCAGTCATCGAAGGGACATTTTTCGGTTTTCAGAATCTTTTTGAAGCCATCCTGGGTCAGTTGATGGTCCTTCATGTGGTAGACCTTGTGTTTTTCTGGAAAAGAAAATAAATTTCAATAAATTTTGGATTCCTTTCAGATTCAGATTCTCATTCTCAAGACTTACCCATATCGGCCTTGTTCTTGAAGGTGTGATTGCAGCCCTCGCGACAGCAGTGATAGTGGGAGGTCTTCTTGCCATAGAAGGGACACTCCTCAATCTTGCAGTTTTCATGGGCCCGGAAGCGCCGGAAACCTTCCTGGACAATTTCCGAATTTTTACGATGGAAATTGGCATGCATTTGGACATCACTGGTGCTGACATAGACCTTGGGACAATCCTCATAGATACAATGATAATGGGTCTGTTTCCAATTGTAGGCACAACCGGCACCATATTCGGGAGCACAGTCATCGGATGACGAGAAACGGGCAAAACCCAAGAGTAGACTCTCCTTGCGTTTCTTGTGCCACTTCAAATGGCGTATGATATCATCTTTTTTGCTAAGGATCTTTCCCTGGCAAGGTTCCTCATAGCAGTGGAAATGTTCGCGTAGATTCTCTTGGCGACACAGCGGATTTTCACACTCCAAATATGAGGAGTTTTTCCTTAAATGTTTAAGGTTCTCCTCGGTCAGGAAACTATCCACACCCGTCGCCGAGACACAAGTACTGCCCGTTAGATTTGTGGTAGAATTTGTGGCCGAGGTGGCCGAGGAATTGGAGGCCGTCGACGAGGATTTATTCATACCCGCCGAAGACGATGAACCCTCAAATGCCGAACTGCCGGTGTGCTTTGAAGAAAGCTGTTCACTTGAGGGTGGTGTTAGTATGGCATTCTTCAAAGTCACCGGGGTTACATTTGAGGGATCATGGTCTGCGAGGGGTTTCAGGGAGTATTCCGATTTCTCGGGAGTAAAGGGCTGCAAAGAGAGGGAGAGAAATAAATAAAAATTTAATAAATTCTGTTTCTTGTTTTTGCTTAATTTTAAGTTTTTTTCCGGTCTACAACATGTTCCAGCATCTCAAATTACCCTGCCCACCCATGCTCTGGAAATAATGAGAACTTCATTGCATGTGTTTCGGCGATTTGTTTATGTTTTGATTTCAAAAGAACAAAAATGTAAAGAAGAAAAAAAAAGTTCGGAAACACAAGTGTTCAAATTTTGTTACAATGTTGCCGATTTTTGTTGTTGTTGTTTTTTTCTGCTAATTTTTAATTGCGTTTTTGTTGTTGTTGTTTTTGGTGTAAACAAAAAAAATTCACAAGCTTCTTGAGATTCCAAGGAATTGTTCGTTGAAAGGTAAGAGAAAAAAGAGTTGGGGGAAAATGAGTAGGGGGCAGAGGGAGACTGGAGAAACCTTAGCCTTGGAATCTGAAGAAAAGTAATTCGAAGTCTCGTAGGTCCGGTCCTATAAAAGGTAGGTAAATATTTGTGTGAAGACTGGAGAAAGGTTGGTTGAAAGGATAAAGATTATTGGCTGAAGAAAGATTCACTTGGAAATGAACATTTATGAAGCTAAAGCATCCTGAAGGTGGTCTGAAAATTCGAAAAGAATCACCCAAAGGTGACAAAAAAGATTTTTGAATTCAACCTTTATTCGGCGCCACCCACGTCCAATTTAGTAGAGAAAGGAAACAAATAGTTTTCAAGATAAACCTAAAGGTAGTCCGCAAACTCGAAAAGAATCCTACGCAAATTTCCAAAAATAATTTTGAATTCTGGAATTTATTGAAATGGAATTGAAAGAATGCGTCCATTTTATCGGAGAGGCAGAAAATCGTAAATAAGATAAATATTTGCAGAGAATGACCCCCAACAGAAACTTGAATTCGAAGAGAGAGAGAAAGAGAGAGAGAGGGAATATATCTCGACGAAATTTCAAAAGAATTATTCACAGCCAATTTTTTAAGAACCCGGTGACCTTTTGTTAGGGAGTTGTGCTGGCAGCTGTGGGTCTTAATGCAATTCCCTTCCGGAGAATATCGCCTCTTTCATCTCCAACATTCGATGATTTCAGTACGGTTTCGGGGGAAAAAAGTTAAATTGATATTCTGCATAGTTTCTAAGAAAATAGGTAAACCTAGAGAGTTTATGTGAAAAGTGGCGCCCAATCACAGGCTGTCAACAGGGAAGTAAACTGGCGACTGTGTAATAAAATTACATTCTCATGCCTTCAGAAATGTATTTTTGAAAGCCAATGCCTAAGCAATTGCAAATTTAGAGGAGAATTTCAAGAGCATAGAATATTGGTGAAAAAGTGGCGCCCAAGCAAATGGTGCTCACAGAAGAAGATAGGTAATGGTTGAGATACTAAATAATTTCGGGAAGATAAAAGCCAAATAGATATGTTGGGTAGCTCTGAATTAAATAAAAAATCGCAAATTTAGGGAAGATTTTTCGAAGCAGAACCCCAAAACGAGTAGTTGGCGCCCAATGAAGTGAGTGTCCTATTGCGAGGAGAGTGTTGTCATAGAAGGAAAGTGTAGTCAGAATAGATCCCTAATTTTCGATAAATCCGAAATGATATTCGGAGAAGAGAAAGAAACTGGGAGAAAGTGCTAGATGTGTTCAAATGGCGCCCAATCACAGAAAGCTAATAAATGAATACCGAGAAGATAAGCTATGTAGCTGCGAATTAAATAAGTTATTGCGGATCTGCCGAAAGAGTCTAGAAGAAAATAATCTAGGCGTGCGGATGGCGCCCAATCAGAGCCTTTTTTAAAGGAGAGAGCTGGATCCGGGGGATAATCGGAGAACTGAATAACTAATTGAAATGTGAACTAAGTACCTAAACCTAGGATGAAAATTTCAACTGGAATGTCGAGGGTAAAAAATTGGCGCCCAATCACAAAGTGGTGATAAGGAAGTTAGTTGGCGGCTACGGAAAATGCCTGATAGATATGTTGGGAAGCGGTGAATTAAATAATCGATAGAAGATCTAAAGGAACAGTCTCGAAGAAAGCCATAAAGGTATAAAGATGGCGCCCAATCACAGGCTGGTTTCAGAGAGAGTGTTGGTGCTCCGTATTCGTTGGATTCGAAGCATATTTGAGGAAATGAATCTCTTATTGAAATTTGAATCTAGGACAAAAATTATGACGGAAATGTTGTTAGTAAAAAAGTGGCGCCCAATCACAAAGTTGTGATAAAAAGTTAGCTGGCGGCTAGGGAAATGCCTAAAAGCTATGTTGGGTAACAGTGAATGTAATAAGCAATCGCAGCAGGAAGAGTCTTGGAGAAAGTAGTAAAAGCGAGTAGATGACGCCCAATCACAGGCTGCTTTCAAAGAGACGGTTGGGGCTCCGTATTCGTTGAATCCGAAGCATATTCGGCAAAATGAATGTCTAAGTAAATAAAAAATCGCTGATGTGGGGGAAAGTCTGGAAGAAAATAAGGGGCTTCAAGTGGCGCCCAATCTGAAGCTTTTAATTCCGCAGTGTTTTTTTAGGTCAGCGTATGTCAAATAAGGATGTAGGATGGCATTCTAGTCCCAATCTTAACATAAAAAAATATAAAAAATAAAATATTTGTCAACTTACCATTTGTTTGGAATCCTCCATGGAATCCGAGGTCAATTCCAATGGCCTCAAACCGGATGTGGAATGGGCCGATGCCGTTAAGTGCATAACTTCGTTGGTCAATTGTTCGGTTTTAATGAATTTAACATCCATTTCTTCGCCATTATCCTCTTCAGTGTCGTCTACATTGTGGACATCCAAAGCGGCGCTGGTGGAGCCGACGGCGGCATTTGGTGTCGATGTCACTGTAGATGATTGAAGAAAATTATGGCTTGGTGAGGAGGTGGAGGTGGCTATAAAAGAAGAGCTAGAATTTTGTGCTGGAAAAGCAGAAGAGGGAAAGAAAAGAGAAGCACTAGATGGCTGATGAGGATGAGATGGAGGAGGAGGTGTGGCAGCGGAAGTGGAAAAGCCAGCAGCGCTGGAAACGCTGGCTCCAGCATAAACCCCAAAACTGTTGGCCAAATAATTCGCCGCCATGGGGGAGGAGGATGAGGGGGTACAGGACGAGGTGTGGGAGGAGGAGTTGGGTGTGGTGGGTGTTAGCAGGAGATTGGAGGAGGTTATTTGCTGTTGTTGTTGCTGCTGCAGCAACATCAATTGGGTCAAGGCCGGCAAATTATTCAACAACATGGGGTTCATGGCAGCCTGAGTTTGTTGCTGCTGCTGTTGCAAGAGTAGTTGTTGCTGTTGTTGTAGTAGGGAAATTTGAGGAGTAGCAGTGGAGATGGGAAAGCTGGGTGTTAAGTGTTGTTGTTGTTGTGGCTGTTGGATGCTCAAATTACTATTGGGACTACAACTACGGCTACTACTACTGGTGTTGGTGTTTTGGGAGAGTTTGCGTTTCTGGGTCCTTAAATTTGTCATTGCAGCTGCTGCTGATTCCAATGAATCCTTGGCCTTGACAGGACTTGGGGCAAATTGTTGTGACTGTTGCTGTTGTTGCTGCTGCTGATTTTGTTGCATTTGCTGTTGTTGTTGCAAGAGATTCATCATGTACAACTGCATTATGAATTCCAATTGGGTAGACATTTTGCTTCGGATTTTTTTCAAAACTTTTTTTCGAAAAAAAATTAATTTTTTTTTTTGAAAAATTTTTTCGGTTCTTTAGTTTTTCTTTCGAATTTTTTTCAAACTTTTTTTTTAAATATTTTTTTTTTCAATATTTTTTGAATTATTTTTTCAAAAATTTTTTTTCCAAATTTTTGTCACTTTTATTGGTTTTTTGATTTAGTTTTGCAATTTTTGTCACAATTTGTTTTTTTAATAATTTTTTTTTGTATATTTTTTCAAAATAATCCAACTAAGATTTTTCTTTGGGTGTAAAAATAATCCTTTTTCTTTGATGGTTATGTTGTGGTTTTTTGTCACTTCACGTAAAAATATTTGAAAATTTCTTTTCTATTCAACGTTTAGCGTTTCGTTTTTATTTTTTTGTAAAGCGAAATAGACTGCAAAGAGTTATTTCAAGCTTGGCTGTTGAGCTCAAACTGATTTAACTCTTCAACGGGGAGCAGTTAATATAGGAAAAATTTCCAAAAAGATCTCTTTGGAAATTGTCTAAAAAACTCACAAACAACCCTCTCCCTTTGTAAAAAGGCCAACAAAAAACAAGATTCTCTTTTTCTTTTAAAGAAGCACAACAAATGATCTCGCAACACTCTCTTAAAAAACCCATACAACTTCCCTAAACAGAGGGAGAAAGAAAGAGAGAGAGAGAGAGAGAGAGAGGGAGCAATAGGATCCGTTTGTTTTGTTTACAATTTCCAAAAAGAAGAGCATAAAAAAGCCAACTCTCTTTAATAGGCGAAATGTGAAAAAAAGGGGTTGCTTAAATGTCCTTTCCTTTCCGCCGCTGCTGCCACTGCTTCTGCTGGTCGTCGCTTGTCCGTCCACGCAACTATTCAGAGACTTCCTTGCTTTTTTATGAAACGTTATTTATTTATTTTTTTGTTTGTGGATTGTCTGCTCAACTCTTTGCAAGGCTATTTTTGCGTTTTGTTCTGGCTTCCTTTTCATCCCTTATTTTATTGGTTCGCATTTCCATTGTCCTTTGGCTGGCTGTGCCAAAAAATCCCTTTTGTTGTAGTAATCGAGCGCGCAAAAAGTATTTGTCTGCTTTTTTTAGCTGCTGGTTCCCATTTGGGACTCTTGAATTATTTTTGTTCGTTTTTTCTCACTTCTACTTCCAGCCAATGGTGTGGCGAGAAATGCTAATATTTTCACAAAAACCACATTTTTTGCCAAAAATTTCCAAGAGTTTAGCCAACAGGAGTTCGGGAATTCATTTCTGTTTTGGGATATTTTTTTTTGCTGTTGTTGTCCTTTGAGGGTGTGAGGAAGAGAGAGATAGTAGAGTTATTTTTTAAGGGAAAAAAGAGAGCTATTTTTTGTGGATTTTTTTTTGGTGGTTTTTGTTCTTTTTTTGTGGGGGAATTTAGGCAACTTGTCCTCATGGGCCATGTCCTAGCAGTGAATGAGTTTTGCTAGGTCAGGATTTTGAATAATGGAGTATTTTTTTTATTTTTGGAACTTTTTTATTTTGAATTTTGCAAAAAAACGAGAGCCATTTTTTTGTGGATTTTTTTTGAGATTTTTATCATGGGCCATGACCTAGCAGTGAGCGAGTTTTGGTAGGTCAGGATTTTGAATAATGGATTAAAAAATTATTTTTTTACATTTTTGGATTATTTTTTATTTTTGAATTTTGCAAAAAATGAGAGCTATTTTTTTTTTGGATTTTTTGGAGATTTTTTGTGGATTTTTTGTATGGGCCATGACGTAGCGGTGGGTAATAAATGGATTTAAGATTTTGGAGAATAAATATAATTTTATTTTTAAAGTAATCGAAAATTTTAGAAACATTTTTTATTTTCAATATTTCGATTGGTATCGACGATCATCATCAGGGATTGAATTTTGCTATATTTCCAAAAACAATTTTTCTTCCACATCACCTTACAGAGATTTTCAGACTCAGAATTTTTAAAGAAGAATTTTAAAGAGAACAATATTTAATTATAAAAAACCTGGAAATTTTAAAACAATCTGTAGCCAAAACATTCCAAAATTTGATTCATTATACCCTCAGCCATATGGCTAGAAAGGGTATATGATACAGCCGAACGGTGCATCATCGAAATAACGGATTTAGTCTCTTTGGATCAAATGCGTTTCAGGACATTTGGAGACAATCTAGCGATGTCCGTCCGTCTGTCTGTCTGGCTGGTGTGCACGATAACTCTCGAAGGGAGTATCCGATTTGTTCTAAACTTGGTACATCGTAATATTATTGGCAAACTTAGATTGAGTTCGGAGATGGGTAATATCGGTCCACGCCTTCTGGTACCTCCCACACAAAAGTTCAAAATTTTCAAAGAAAATATTTTACAGCCTAGAAAGAGAAAGGATAATCCGATTTTGCTCCAACTTTGCAAATACTTATATTTGCAAAATTGGATGGTCAGGTGCAAAAAATGGACAATATCGGTCCACTACAACAAGTACCTCCCCCACAAAGGGTCAATATTTTGAATAATTACAACTCTTACAAAATGTGATGGAAGAGTCCGATTGTCTTCAAATTTCACAAATCCCAATAATTTTATTAATCCAAGGTCTAGTGTGATGATGGAATAGATCGGCCTACTCCTTCTGATATCTCCCCCACAAAGGGTCAAAATTTTGAATATCCATGAAGCTCATAAAACACGAAATTAACATTCGATTCCATTCAGACTTGGTACATCTCAATATTTCCATAAACACAAGATATGTTATAAAAAAAATTAGAGATCGGACCTTTATTTCTGGTACCTCCCCCACAAAGGTTCAAAATTTTTGAGTGAAAAAACGATTATAAAATAAGAAATAAGCATCCGGTTCTCTTCATATTTCACACAAACCATTATTTCTACTAACACAAGATCTGTTGTGAAGATGGGATATATCTGCCTACTCCTTCTGGTACCTCCCCCACCAATGGGTCAAAATTTTTAATATATATGAAGCTCAGAAACAAACTTTAATTAACATTCGATTTCATTCAGACTTGGAACATCTCAATATTTCAATCAACACAAGATCTGTTATAAAGATGGTAGGGATCGGACCATTTCTTCTGGTATCTCCCCCACATAGGGTTAAAGATTTTGAAAAACAAAATGCTCAAAGAAAGCGAAATAAGCACCCAACCCAAATATTTTGGCTAACACAAGATCTGTTGTGGAGATGAGGTATATCTGCCAACACTTTCTGGTACCTCACCCACAAAGGGTGACAATTTCCAATGCCTATATCTGTCGCAACGTGCGAAATAAGCCGGCTATTCTTTACATCTTGCTTTATCTAAACATTTGTTATCGGAATTTATGATTTCGCGTAAAATTGGATATAAATTTTGCACACACTTCAAATTTTTCACATACCAATATTTTTATCTGTATTAGATGAAGTATGAAAATGGAAAACTTCGGTCCGCTGTATCTGTTACCTCAAGCATCTTTCAACATTTTCCAAAAATTTGCACATATCTCATATAAAGTATAGGAAGTAGTCGATACAGTCCAAATCTGGCACGTTGTAATATTTATATCAGTCCTAGGTCAGATTCGAGTTGCTCAATATTAGCCAACTGCTTCGGAAACTCCACCCATAAAGGGTCAACAGTTTGAATAATCATAACTCGAGGCTGGGGGTATACATTTATCGGCAAAACCGACTGCTACTACTTTACATGTTTTTTTTTTCCTTAAAATTGTCAGAATTTCCTAAAATTTCTGCCTATTGGAGTATTTTCCTGCATTTAAAAAAATCCCAAGAATGAGAATAGGCTAGCGTCCAAGAAAAATCAAAAAAAAAAAAAAAAATTAAAAAATTATGGTTATATTTCATAGAAAAAAATTCTTGAAATTTTGAAAAATATTTGAGACCAAAAGATACAAAAATTTATATTTATTTTTTATTTATTTCGAAAGATCCTTTTCCTCAAAAAGTATTTCATATCATCCCCACTAAATTAATTGAATAAAAAAACAAATATCCAACAGTTCCTTAGGGAATGGTCACTCATCCAAGGATATGTTAATTTTATCATCCTCTTAAGTGGTCATTTTCGGAAGATTATTTAAGGATATTTAAATATTTGTCAACACAAGTCATTCAATTGTCCGTGGTGGTGCCGCTGAGGGCCGTAATTTATTAACAGTTTTGACACATTTTCTTTACACCCCTAAGAAACAAAAGAAGATCGTGTCGAAGAGAGATGACTTCAGGTAGCAAAAGAAAACGAAGATGCCCAGTGGTCATTTGTTGTTAATTAAGAGAGAGGGAGAGAGAGAGTGGCTATGTGTGCGTGTGCAACAACACGAGCCATTGCTGCTGACCAGTGCCAATGGTGGTCAAGGGATTTAAAACTGGTTTTAGTGACGTGTTAATAAGAAAAGGATTGTGAAAGGATAACATCAGGTTCCTTTCAAGTGTTGGCTCGTGCCACTGACCAATTGTAGATCATATGACACTGGAAATATGCTAATTGGCTTACAAATGACACGAACTACTTATTGGAACTTAATACTGTGCCCGCTCACACGAAATAATTTTGGATAAGAGGATCCGGGTCGAGCTGCAATAAAGTGAAGGAAGCCCAGTTATTCACCTATAGTGGCTCTAAGATCTGGGGCTGGAGTTTTCACATTTTTTTTCATTTCACATTTTCATAGACAGATTTTCAGGCCCTGGTACTATAAAACTGGGAACTGGGAAATTACTCTGAGTAAAGACCATTGAGGGCAGCTACAATATACCAGAGTAGATGTGCCTATCCCAGAGTAGATGGCCAGCTCATCTGAGTTGATAGCCTCTGAAGCGGTCTTCTTTCACTTTAATGCAGAGAGTTTTGCTTAGAGAGTTGATTAAATTGAATTATCCTTAGTAGAGGCCATTGAAGCCAGTGTCATTAAGTACCTTTGAAGATATGTACTCAAATATAGAGGTCTCTGTGTTTAACTTCTCTAAAATATTAGCCATTAAAGATATCTGCTCAAAATTGAAGAGCTGTA